TACGTGTGGACGAGACTTTAAGGAAAATACGTAGTAATGATCTGACGTAACAGATACAATATGTTCGTTAGGGTAGATGCGAATAATTGAGAGTAAATCCTAGTGAAAGGCTTGAAGTCGTTTTAGAAAGAAATGTTGAAAAAAAACGTCTTTTTAACTAGCACACTTCTTGACAAGGTGTAAAATTATGCTAAATTAAAAATTGCCCTAACAAAAATACTTATTTGCCGTATGTACCAACTTAAACTATTTAGTAGCGTCTTTAATAAATAATTCTTTGAGTTGTATACAGGGTGGTATAACTGTATTCCGGTAACTCTGGAAGCATATTCTGCAGATAAAAATAAGCAAAAAAATGTATTTTCTAAAATGCTTAGTTTCGGAAATACAGGGTGTAGAAGTTTCATATTTATTTCGATTTTTTTCAAATAATTTCTGATGTAATATCAATATTTGGATGAAAATTGGTGTCTGGGAGTTTTTTACTACAGAACTTACAGAACTACTACAGAAAGTACAGAACTACTTCAGAAATTATTGGGAAAAAATCTCTCTCTAAATAGAACTGAAATTTCTACACCCGGTATCTTCGAAAATAAGCATTTTAAGACATGCATTTATACAGACTTTTTACTTATTTTAATCTGCAGAATATGCTGTCGAAGTTTCCGGAATACAGTTCGGACCACCCTGTATATCGCCATGCATGTTTGAATTTTCCTATTAATTATCATCAGTACAACAAATTTCACTGCGTTTTTAATCCCCTAATTACCCTTATACTCATCACTTAATAGTTCTCTCTCACTTTGCATTTAAATTAGTTTAGCGTATTAATAGTTTTTGTTGTTCCAAAGTGTTAATTCTAGCTAACAAAATTATATTATTGCAGGATAAATTTTAATGAACGCAAAACACGACCCACTTATATAACAAATGATATTAACACCAGAAAGACTAATTAATAATCTGTCACATTCTCTAAAGTAATATATGAATATAAACAAAAAATGTATTTTTTTATTAAAAAATTGATTATTATAAAGAATCTTTTTAATGTTAAATCATCTTATGTTTAGGAATATCCGAAAAACTTTCCTTTCATAGGACTTTACAGAGCTTAGCCTGAAAATACGTTGTTTTTTTATTGGCTTAAAATATAGTGGAGTTTATGAAAGTCCCCTACAGGCCGGTTGGCAAACTATGAAGAATATCTTACAAAATAGGTCATGATAATAATAAATTTCTGACGAAATAATTACATGCTTTTTGCTATCATTAATTTTCTTCTCTAAAAAAGATTTATGGAAAGCTTGGTGGAAAAAACAAAGCCTCATCGTTTTCGTTCTTAGTTTTATTACTTGACAAGCACTTTAAAAGTATGTACTAGATTTAGTATGTTAAATTTTTGATCATAACTTTGACAGACTCGAGCACCCCTGTAACTTCGTTGTGCATAAAGTAAGAATTTAAAATCAAGATTTGAATTTTAGTTATCCTATAATGGAAGGAAAATATGAAAAATTCCGAGATTCCAGTGGCGGCTCGTCAGGGTAGGCAAGGTAGGTGGGGCCTACCTTGTATGAACCCAACAAATGTGGAAGTGAATGAGGACTATCCTTAAGATAAGTTATCCTATTTTTGAGCTAAGGTTTTTCTTATTTTGTTATTAAACGTGTAATTTTTCAATATACCTATTTCATGGGAAATTATTTGTAAAACTGCAATTTTTCTTATTCAATGTTTTTAAAATGTAAAAAACGCACATTTAAAAAAATTATCTCCGCCACTGGTAACTTACCTTTATTAAAAAGATCGTTTTTATAGGAACTTGTATCCTAATAAATTTTTTGGTCTTGAGATTTACATCAAAAATGCTTTCATTTGAAGTTAAACAGAGAATGGTGGGTTATTAAAACAATCCTTCTAAATTAAAGAATTCGCACCTGCGCCACTGAAATTCTAAAAATTTTGGTTCTTTACCTATGTGGTAGGAAATTTTCTTCTCTTCAATTTTTTACTCGTGACTTTTTTCCTAAAATTCGTAGTTTTAGAGTTATTGAAGAAAAAGTAAAAAAAGGGCCATTTTTACCCCTTGTAGGGGTGGTTTTGGGGTGACGGGCTCAACGCTTCATCGCTGGGGTTTCAGGATGTTTAAAGATCTACAAAATGAAGCTCCATGCCAAATTTCAGCTTGTCTCTAATTTGTTGAACCTCGGCCTGTATAGGCTCTGGGCTACATTGCCACTTGAGGGATTTGATTCTGTAGATTCATAATGGTTCATGATTCATTCTTAATGCTAACTTAATTCTTCTGTTGATTTCTGGTAGTAGAGATGTGATTAGTTGTCCGAAATATACAAGATGAGTCTTAAATAAGTGCAAATATTTTTGGGGGTAGTATATTTTGACCCCAAACACACGATTATGATTTTTTTTTCACGAAACATTTTTTAGAATATTTGAAATTTAAAAAAATTTTTTTTTTACTTTTTAGTTAAAAAATATAATTTCTTGATAATATGGCAACATAGGTAGTAGACTAAATTCACAAGGAATAAAATCCAGAAAAGATCAAGTGCTTTTCAAAATTTAAGCAAAAAATATTTTATTTGGAAATTTTCAAGGTAAAATTTGTTTGTTTCTTTTTTCGAGATCTGCTAGCCCTGAAAATAATTGCAATTGCACTTATTTAAGACTCTCCCTGTATATATTGTTCTACTATTTCCAGTGTTATGTTATTTATTTTTTATTATACTAATTAAAATACTTTATTTTTATAATTACCCTGTTTAGGTTTACTTTACAGTAGATTATTCTTTTGTAATTAAGGGTGCGCAAACTGCGATGCGAGACTTTTTTGTTTGGACGAAACAAGAAACAACTAAAAAAAATATAAATACAGATACAACACAATAGGCGACATCTAGCAGAGTAAGTTCCTACCTCCCATCATAGATCGATAAAGATACAACATATCCCGGAAACGCTTTCGTCTGTGAAACTAAAGTTTCAAACTGACGCTTATACAATTGTTGGAAAATCTAGATGGAAAACTTTTGACGGGGAGAAAATAACCGTTGTAGATGAAGATGACCAACATAGGGTAAACCCATTGTATATGGTTGCTTTTACCTGGACAAGTCCTTAAGCAAGTTTACTCAAACATCACTTTAATATTGTATTACCCCTTTCCCTTTGTTAACGTACAGAGCAGGCCTTGTTTGGCCCAAAGGCAATTTTCCAATTTTCACCATGAACCACCAATTAATTATAAACGTGAAAAATATACAGGATGTACTGAAGCGAACTACATACACCTATATTAAATTTTAACGTTACTGAATCAACATGGCTACAAACCGTAGAGTAATTCCAGACAAATTAAAAAAAAATCCCTTTGTAGGGGAGCCCCATCCCTTCTGGATTTCAAAGGATAGAAAATACGAACATACATACATAATATTTATTATTAATATGGGTTGGGAATTCTAATTGTGAGTTTAATATTTAATTGCATAATTTATAATTTATTTTTTCTTCTGCTTATGTCTTTATATATACAACAATATACAGGGTGACAATTTAAAAACTGGCATTAAATATAAGCATTATGATATCTTAAAAATTTCTAGGATTTCTAAAAATGCTGAAATTTTCATAATTTTATGACTATGATTATTATTTTTGTAAGGCCTTTGAAAATGGGTAAAAAATAGCCAAAAATGGGAATTTTTTCGACTTTTTTTCAGTGAAAATTGGCGATTTTCGTCATGTCACCGATTTTGTTAAAAAAGTTGTTATTTGCAAATTAAAAGGCGTAAAATATGAAAATATAGTCCATTATAGATAGGTTTTAACCATCATCGTAAGAAATAGCAAACCAAAGTTCAAAAAGAATTTTCACGAGACCAAGATATCGTGAATTTACATAAAATTGTCTAAAAAGCTGAAATTTTCATAATTTTATGACTATGTTTGCTATGTTTCCAAGGCCTTTGAAAGTGTGTAAAAAATAGCCAAAAATGGACATTTTTTCGACATTTTTCCATACACATAGTCGTGAAAATTTTCTCCATTTCACCGATTTTCTTAAAACTGTTGATATTTACTAATTAAAAGGCGTAGAATAATAAAATATAGGCCATTGTAGTCTTTCGAGAACGCTAATGAAAGTAAGAGACGTTTAACCATTATAAACATAGCTCAAAACAAGAGTCAAAAAAAAATAATTTTCTTGTAAAACCAAGATATGTAAGCCTTTAAGCGTGTACATATTCTGAATCTACATAAGATTTCCTACAAAAACTGATATTTTCATAATATTGAAAGGCCTTTGAAAGTGTGTCAAAAAATAGGAAAAATGGGCATTTTTGAATGTTTTCCATACATATAGTCGTGAAAATTGGCGATATTCGTCATGTCACCGATTTTATTAAAACTGCTATTATTTATTAATTAAAATGCATAGAATAAGAAAATATAGACCATTGTAGTCTTACAAGAACACTAATGAATGTAGGAGACGTTTGAACCATCATATAGAAAAATGCAAGGTTAATTCTCCGTGAATAATATATAATTATACCATTAACTAGGATATGAGTTGATATAAAATGCTATTGAACGAGCAGTTTTTACAAAAATTACGAATTCTCTCTTCCCAAACAATGAAAAAGCCGGCCTGTTCTAATTAGTAATCCACCTGTGCCGTGTAACCGTTTTCCAATACTACCAGCAAAACTTGCACTTAAATTCAATTCCAAAGCGATGCCTCAAATTCCTGATACTAATCCAGATATTTCCCGGATAATCCTTGTACATCATCCAAATCGCATTTCAAACGAACACAAATTTCAGTCCTTTTTTATTCGATCAGTTCGAATGCCGTGAAATTGATTCGCCTAATATTATTTAATTTAATTTTACCAAATAGTTTACATACAATTTTCCGATTTCTTTAAGAGTATATTGATTTTCTTGAATGATCTTTGTTTTAGCAGCAGCCAAACCGTTGACGTTTGACGAAGTTTATAATCAAAGTAGTCCAACAAATTGCACTGTATATTGTGGGGGAATTACGAATGGGTTAACTGAAGAACTAATGCAGAAAACATTCGCCCCGTTTGGGACCATCCAAGAGATCAGGGTTTTCAAAGAGAAAGGCTATGCTTTTGTTAGGTATTTCATTATTTCTCACTTTTTTTCTCAGTTTAAGTGATATTATTTGACCTGGACACTTAAAACTGATTAGATTTATAAACCAATCAAATTAGATGGATCACTTAGAGAAAAAAAGCGTTGAAAGATTCCTAATTTCCTAGGTTTGCTCGTACTCTGCTAGAACGCAACGTTACGGAACTATAGGCGAACATTTTCAACACTTTTTTCCAAGTCATCCCTCTCATAGAGATCTTATTTGACTGGCCTATTAGGCACCTAAATAAACTAACCAACTAACTGTCAACAGATTTTCAACCAAGGAATCTGCCACGCACGCTATAGTAGCAGTACACAACACTGACATTAATGGACAAATAGTGAAATGTTCTTGGGGTAAAGAATCGGGTGACCCAAATAACGCTCCAGTTACTGGACAAGTAAATTCAACTTGCAAAGACATCTCTTTTCAGAAATAATAACAAATCCTTCGACTTTTTAGACTATATCAAGTACCAGCTTCCCCTATGGAACCTATGGACAACAGCTGGGTTATTGGTACCCTCAGAGCTATCCCACAGCAAGCACCTCCCAAATGCAAGCTGGACAATTCATTGGAGGAATGCAAGGATACGCTTATGGACCTATAGGAGGTTACCAATCACCATCTTACACTATGGGGTAAGTTACTACACTCAGATACAAAAAAAGCAACTGCAATTTTTTTCAAATTTAAAGTAATATACAGGGTGTCCCAGAAATAAGTACAGATATTTTAAGAAGTGGTAGATCTCGATAAAACAAACATATTTTCTCTTTAATTTTTTTCAAGTAAGTCCAAAATAACCGAGTTATTTTACTTTGAAAATTTCCAAAAAAAAAGATTTTTTGGTTAAATTTTGAGAACTTTTCAGGGTTTTCTTTCTTGTAAATTTAATCTACTACTTATGTTGCCATATTATCAAGAAATCATGTTTTGTAACTAAAAACTAAAAAAAGGTTCCAATTTTTTTTTCAAAAAATTCCAAATTTATTTATTTTTTCGCGCAAAAAAACTCATAGGCGTGTCTCTGGGGTCGAAATATACTACCAGTTAAAAGATCTGTACTTATTTTTTTAGCACAATTTTCATGATCTTTTTAGCAAACAGTATAATATAATGTTTTAGAAACATTTTCTCACGAAATTATTTCACAGGATGTTTTAAAGATAAGATGAAAAACAACACTTCGATTAAATTTGTATAATAAGCCAAATATTAAAGTTTGTAAAAAACTTATTTTACGTATTAAAATTAATAGATTTATATACAGTTTGCTAAAAAAAAGTCATGAAAATAGGGTTAAAAATTACGGTTGCGTTTTTTTTGCATCTAAGTGTATATTTTACACTGGTAAAATCCAGTTCATAGGAAACTTAGACTGATGAAAATTTGCATTAATTTAACACCCTTTTAATAAAAATGGCATCAATGGAAATAGGGTTAAAAGGAAGGGAAAGTAGAGCCCTATTGGGGACAAGCCAAACGTTTTGATAAACCCTAATAAAGCTGACCTTACTCCTTTTTATGAATACATTACTCGTCGTCCAGGAAAAATAAAATATATCAAAAATATTTGCTTCGGCTAAAAACAATACGACAAACTAGCTTACACATTTCAGATCAAAAGCTTCTGCTAGTTGATTTAAAATGGTGACAGTAAATGGATTAGCTAGAGATCTACTTATCTAATATATCATCTAATAGTTTAATACCTAAGCTATAGTTAGGAAATCCTAGAGATTACAAAAAAAAATGAAGTGTGGATGCAAAATTTAAATTATTTTTTTAAAGTTCAAAAATAATTACTGACAAATGATTATTTGTGTGCAGCATGGGTATTCAGGTCCCCACAGCCGCCACATCATGGCAAAGCATTCCGGCTCCATCCCAGATACCCACAACTCCACAACAAATGGCTGCCCCAGCCACAACACTGCAACAGCCTGGCATAGTTTTTCCGATTCAACAATATCAAGTAAGACAAATTATAGTTTGACATGGGAACTCTATATTTTCAAGCTAAGTAGTTGTATATACAGAGAGATTTTTAATTTTGTTAATTGAGTATGGTTGTCAAAATTGAAAACAATAGATACAGGCAAGTGGTGTAAAAATGAGACATTTAAAAAAAATGTTAGTTCCAACGTTCCAACCATTTAAATACAAAATTTTATTATTTCTTCTATAAAAAGGTATTTGGTGCTAATTAAACTGTTTCAGAAGTAAAAATACCCCTAAAAAGTCAGTATGCGGAAAAGTGTGTTTCGTATTTAACCCATAACAAGTCTAAAAATGACATAGTCGCAACAGGCACGTTTAAAGGATCTGCTATCGTTTATATTAAATGCTGAAGTAAATATGAGGGTAGAAGGATAGAAATTAGACATAGAAATGTAACTTTTTTATTAGTAGAACTCAAATAAAAAAATCTAAACTTATTAAAAAAGAAGAAAAATATGTACTTAATAAGCCTTTTTAAGATATTTTTCTATATACTTTTGTTTGGTTTCTTTACATTTTTTTAATTATTCTTGAGTCGTGAATCAAATTTAAAAATAGACATGTTATTAAGTTGTCTCATATTTACCCCTACATTGTCTCATTATTTACCCCTCCAAAAAAAATAGCTTCGCATGCCAACAGGACTTAAATTAAAGCCTCACACAAAGATTAAACAAATTATGGGGATGATAATATGTCAACAATTATTGTTAAATGTTCCTAACAAACAAACTGACTGAATATAAGCTTTCAGTAGTTTTATTTAAATCTCATTTTTTACCTAAATATGGTTACACCGCTCGACCCTACTTCTATTAAAAGCTTCAGAAGGAAAATAGTATTTTTCGAATTTTTGACAACCAGACTAATTATTAAGTGTTAAGGTAAGAACTGTGTTTTCCTCTTTAATTCTTCAGCTACAGCATGTCCTCGCTTAAAGCATAGTATGAATGATATTAAAATAAAATTATAAAGATATCTACTAAATAATAATTAATTTAAAAGTGACGTTACTTAAAGTTGACTCGAGCATGATAATTTTTTCAACTCCTGTAGAATGCTTGTGTATCAAATTTTTGAATTCTTTTGGCAAGTTGCTTAAATCTGATTTTTTGTATTTCAGGCCCAATGAAACATACAATACTAAATGAGCCGAGAGATTGAAAAAAATATATTTCTTCAAGTTTATTATCGACTTGTAATATGTGCCAAAAAAGTTGGTGTCTCTCTATTATACACTATCGATTTCTCGAACAGGAAAAATGAGGACTAAAGGTTTGAATTTATACATAAAAAGCCCTCTTTACAACACACATACAATCTAAAAATTTTAAGCATATATTTTTGTAAAATGTTTATAATATTTAGCTGCCGTACTACAATCAGAATAGTTAAAAACGTTTAAGCAACGTCTGTTCATTTTATTTTTCTTACCAAGCAATGCAGGAGATTTATTTTATAAATAGCTGAAATTAGGTAAAAGTCTGTGTGATAGGCTGGATGTTTGTGTAGACGAAATTGTGCTGAAATCTGCAACGAATATCATCGAGCCCTTTTTATTAACCGCTTGTCCAATGAATGAATTAAAACAAAATGAAAAATGTACATATATCGTTACAAGGCAGATTTGAGCTCAAGTGTGCAACACGTTTAATACATGTGTACTAATGTTATAAAAGTTCCAAACAATAAAACCACAATTGCTTTTGCAACCAAGCTGAAATTTTCTCTGTACACCAAAATGGCGCTTAGTTAATTGTAAATAAGTGTGGTAATTTCGGGTCTTTTTGACAGCTGACGGAAGACAACGAGTGGTTGACACCAAGTCTTCTAGTATGAATATAAACATACAGGCAATTCATCAAAAAGACCAGGGAATCATTAATTGATATGTGTCATCTTCTGTGTTTGAATACCTTTAGGCCTCAAATTTCCAGTTTATATGTTCTATGTTTAATGGGTCAAATTTGACAAACGTTCCCAAACCTTCGCTGGGACATCATATTTGATAGTTTAGTATAAGAGTTTATATTTGTAAACGACTAAAGTGAGAATTTAAGTTTAATTTCTGAGATGTACAAAACACTAGTAGCATAAATGTCAAGTAGATAGGGTAAATAAATATATATTATACATATATACATATTATATATAAATAAAACAAAAAATATATTATTATATACATGCCCTGGGGTTACAGCGGGTTGTGTAACAAATAAAACACTCAACCTCTCTTGCCCGAAGGATAATATTGTACAGATAATCTAAAAGAAGAAACTGTACATAGACTCATAAATCGGATGCAAGTACTCAAAGCTATCAGAAATTTAGTTTTTGTAAGTGTGTCTTCGTAGATAGAGAGCTTTGAAAATGGAGAGGCAGTGATAAAAGAAATATTATTATCTAACGTGATATTTAGCAATTTTATATGAAGTATTTAGTTGATCACGAGAAAAGTTTTGATACCAGATAGAAATTAATACCGAAAACAAATTAGAACAATTAATTATTATTTTAAAAATTGGCTGGTAAAATAGCGACAAAGGAAACGTGGAAGGGCAGAACCCGAAAAAAATGGCAACTCTGTCAATTAGCTTAGTTATTATCAACGTAAAAATTATCAGAAAAGAATATGAAGGACACCTTCCCGTTTTCAATAAATAATTTAAGGTCTGTACAGAATGGTATGGTTGCGCCAAAAATTTAGCTGTGTAAGTTGATACTTAAGAAGAAAAAAAATTGTATTATGCACGCTTACCCAAACAGCACAATTATATATAACGACTGTATAAATGTTTGTGGAACTGTCACTAAATGTGAACAAAAATATATCACATCTAGTTGTTTTAATTTAAGAAACTAATAATTTTAGGGCTACTATTTATGTTAGTCAAATAAAACAAGAATAAAAAAATATAAGAGCAACTTCATTTTTCTTCATAAAAAGTTTTTAAAAAAATCAACCAAAGCTAAAGTGATATGATACCGTTTATATATGATATAGATTACGTTTAAAATAGCTTTTTTACATGATTGTTTCAAAAAACTATTTGGGTCATTTCATACCCTGTGATTATATCTTCTAAATGTGATGACAAACATAAAAAAAACTTATGCGACCAATCGTTAGGCCATTTAGATAAGGCAAGTGAGATATGAAATGAAAACAAACAAAAAACATTCTAAAATACGATGGTCAAAAAAAAAGTTCTTTTTGCATCATCCAAGTACAACATAACTTTTTTGTTGTCCCTCGTACTTCCTGATCTTAGAAGAAATAAAGCTGAAGGAACCAAAGTATTAGTTTTATTTAACATATCGTTGTTGTTTACGAAACTTTTATATTAAGTTTTTCCTTTCATATTTACCTATAGTATTAAACAGTTTGTTTAAGTATTATTTGTAATATAAATTGTTCTTCAACTAATATATGCAAATATTTTTACCAGCTTTTAAAATAAAATTAGATTACTCTAGGGCGAATTTCATACTTTTATACCAATGAAATACTTCAATATCAAAAACTTTTATTAAGATTAAATTTTAAGTGTCCAGTATTCTTGGACACACTGTAAAAAAAGTTCAAGTTTCTCAGAAATTTTTATTCTTCATAAATGTGATTGATTCTGTCAAGCTCCATAATATAAACTAGTCAATATGGAAGTATTTCGATAATTCATGTAAAAATAATAGATAATATAAATTCGTACAATATACACTTACCAACAGCCAGCAAGCGCGTAGCGGGGAGATCTTCGTCATCTTCTGAGATACTTAATAGTAGCCAATATGCAGCCATTAGTATTCTGAAATATAAAAGAGGAAATATAATTAGTGTATCAAATTAATTAAAAATAATGAATGAAAATGTATGAAGGAATATTTGTGGCAACTTACCATAGTGGACGACTTATTTTAACGGAAAAGATAGCAGTTGCCTCTCATTATTTTTCTATCAAATTAATAAAGTTCACTCCCGAGACCGTCACAACCGCCATTTTATGTCGCGAAACTGTAGGCCTTAACCAGATTCAAGCAGACCCCAAAATCGAGCCCCCCAAGAGCAACTGCGAGACGAAAAGCGCTTGGAGGCGCTCCCGACTCGGACTTTACTTCCATTTCTACTCTCTCATCTACTCTAAACCAGTGAAAACCCCCGATAGAACTCGAAAACCCTTGTCCTACAACCTTTACCCGAAAAGGATTAGAGGCAAATTTGAATTCCGAAAAAGTTGCGGTGCGTTACGTACGCACAAACGTGGAACGACATCGGATTCACTAATTTAAATACTTTAGAAGGCTCTAAACGGATTTTCTACGATAAAAAACTTAATTTTTCAGTAGACGCTATCAAAAAAAAATATGGTGCCGATAAACAAATGAAAAACGGTTAATTATTTGAAGGGTAGTCTTTTAAGACATTTGATTGGCTCTTAATTAGATTGACAGATACCCTAGATGGATCGGCAACCAGACATACGCGAAAGGGTTACAGATTAACGGATTATTTTTTTCGACAATAATACCTGATTAACTTTGTAATTAATTTAATTTAATAGGAATTTACATATATATAATTTATTTATAAAAAAAAATATTTTTTTTAGATAATATATATCATCGTCGAAAATCGAGACATTTAATAATTATTATTGTAGGTTGTCTTAGTACTATAATGGACTTACTTTAAAGGGTATTTTTCTAATACACACAGTAAAATAGGTCAGCTACATCTTCCACACGGTGATATAAAGTATTAATTGAACTGTGTAATTAGAGTTTCAAGAAGGTAAGCCAGCTACCTACCTATAAACTTTGAAAATATTTGCATATATCTTTCTAAAAATATTTTACTGTTTTTAAAACTCTGTTGGTTTTTTATGAATGATTTTGTAAATTTTATATGAAATATTTACTCTATACATATATGTACCTAAGACTTATGATAGCTCTAATAGATTTTTTAACAAACTAGAACACACTGTTAAGTTAGTTAGAGTTAGTTTATTAGTATTTTATGTATTTTGTATATTTATTTATATTTTAGATAAACAGAAAGCAAGATATAGCTACCAAAATATGATGGTGCTAATTTTATAATCATTAGTTCAAGTTTAGTCAGTTTGATTATATGTATGTATTTACCAATTAGTGGCCGTATTTTAAATAGTGGTTACTTCAAAATGCTTCAACTAGTAATTTAAAAATTAATTATCTATAGATTACCTCATCTAGCATAAAAAGAATAGTAGTTTTATTTTGCCAGGCCGATTAATTTTTAAGGTATAATTATTTTATTTCCTTACAATTTTTATTTAATGAGTCAGAACTAATAAGAACTCTAGTAATACATAATATGCGTTCATATTGCAATATATATTGCATAGTGCAATATTAATATACAGAAGATTTCAGAAATAACCTTTGTAACTGTGATTTAGCCCTTTGCATATTTAAGAATGCCCATATCAATTCTTCATGTTTTCAGAACATTCTAACTTTTATGTTTAACAATTTTTCTTCGGAGCCCATAGTTAGAAAGGTGATTTCCTATTCCACCATCGTAAATACCCAAAGTTGTGAATTGGATAATCAGTTGTTTTATATTGATGGTTGCTCTACGTCTTAACATTAAGAAGGCGTGCTTAGGTACGAATTATATAAGTTACATATGTAAAACTTAAAAGATTAATCTATAAATGTAGAAAATGGAATTGAAATAAAAACTTCTAAAAAGCAAAAATAAACTTTTTATTTAAGTATACCTATAACTAAATCAATACCAACTATATGCCATTGTTCTTTAATGGTTTCAGTTCCTCAAATGATGGCCTGTGTGGTATATTCTGAAATAATTCATTTTGAAATTAATACAAAGTAAACTTAGGTAATTGTCCTTACTTCTCTAGTTTGTTCTTAGGCAGATAATGAAGCAATTTGTTCAATATTTATCAGGTACATTTAATGTGAACGCTACAATCCGAAGTATATAGCACAGGACAAGTCTGAAAATAAAGAAACAATAATAAGTAACACCAAAATTAATAATAAAAAACTTTACCTGAAGCAATCTGATTGCTTTATATGTGAATCTTTCATTTTGCTTTCTGGCTTTAGATTTTGAACTGTTCACCCCCAACGAGAAGGCATCACATATGATCACAAGTCACACTTATAATATGATTTACAGACACAAAAACCATCAATATGATGTCTGAATTTCCAGAAAGCTAGTTCTTTCGACTTCCATATCTTTCATTATTCTTAACACATTATTGATGCTAAAGAAAATCCTGCCTACATAAACATAAGAGAAAATATCTAGAGCTTCAGTTACCTAAAGTAAATAATATATATTAAAGTAATATTATCTTACAAACACAAGAAAAATATATAATGGAAGACTTACCGAAGTGTCACAAATATTTTCAGATTTAATTGTTGCAAGATTGGTTGCAAGACTCCTTTGAGAGAAGATTTGATCTCTATCTGTTAGCCTACCTACAAAATTAATTGTTTCATCGTGCTGGTTAAATTCTGCCATAGTTTTAATAAACTTCTAAATTATAATTCTAAACAGCGTTTAGAATTATATATTTTATTTAATTAATTTTAGTAATTTAGAATTACATATCAATAAAGCATAATTTAAAGATTTTAAAGGTTAAAAATGTATTTTGATTTTGCTCAATGATTTTGCTGTTTTGTATTCAAAAATAAATAATGAGTATGTTTAGTTGCATATCCACCACAATAAATTTTTATTTTTATAGGTATAGGCTGTTCCATAGGATATGTTTTTTCTTAAACTAAAGCTCAGAGATATAGAGTAGCTAAAACTGGTTGAATTTTATTTTATATTAATTTAAACAAAAAAAAAACTAATAAAAAACCATACCGTATAAAATTACAGACTAAAATAGGGTAGTAGCATTTTACATTTTGATGTTTGTTTTACAATTTATATTTTTAAGTGATTAATAAGAAAACGATGTTGAATTTTATAGATTTTAATAAACAAATTTTATAAAATGTTAGTTAGATTTAGTTCCTGTTATTTCTTTACAGTTGTATTTCCAAATGTTGTCGTTTGGACTGAGTCAGAAGTGGATGTTGATAATGAAGAAGCTACAGTAGTTGAGTTTTCTAATTCAATATTCGACTGAATAGTTGTAGATTCCGTAGTTCCTGCCTTTATCATAATTGTATTGTTTTTTGTCGTGGTGGTTTCTAAATTTAGACTTCTTGATTGTTTAGTATCAGTTATTCGAGGTTCTGCGTAAAAACGAAATACCTAAAAATACAAAACACATAACCACATGAGTGAATATCTATCTAAATAACTTTCTTATATTAAAAACTTACGTTAGATAATGGCTGAGGATTTTCTATGAGTGATTTTATTAGTGGAGCTAAAGAAGAATAAATATCTCCTTGTTTTTTGTGGTTATTTTCTGTTGGATCATTTAAAATGCCGTTCAGTCTTTGTTCTATTTGAGGAACTTCTGAACTTATGCTATCTGAAGCTACAGTTATATATTCTTTAGAATTCTGGGGGCTTTCTTGAAGTAATGGAGGACCTGAAATATATTTAACAATTAATTTTTAATTAATTTTACATTTTTGTTATTTTAAATACCGCTGAAAAATACTACAGCAGAACTAGCACCATCATCAAATTTCGTATGATACCCATAGCCTCTATATGTATCAGTGGGAATTGATAAAGATTTTGGTAACTGAAAAGTCTTCTCAACTAAGTTTAAATTTACTTCATTTCTAGTAAAATGAGGTACAGAATCACTTAGATTCGAATGATCAGCTTCATTTCCATTTAATTTGACTATATTTTGAAGACTACTAATTTGTTGTGGAATATCGTAAGCCAACAATGGGGGCTGATAAAAATTGTACGGTATAACATTAGGAAAAGTTGTAGGAAATGAATAACTTTGAGGGATATATGTTTGAGGCAAAGAAGTGTAAAACTCTTGAATGGGGTGTTGTGCGCCTACTTGATGGACCCAGTAAACGCATACTACCTAAAAAAAAGCGATTATATAAAAAATGCTGAATTATTTTTAAAAACATTAAAATGCATATTTCGTCTCTATTGTAAAAAGAAATCCATTACACCCACGATGCTCGTAAAAGTTTATTAAAGAAGTACCAAGGCGTATGCTCTAGTTTTGTTAATGTAAGTGATCAGAAAATAAGACATGAAATTCTGGTAGCTTGACATTTTCATATGCCAAGGTGCTTTACCAAAAATTTCGCGGTCATCGACTTTTGTTATTAGTTCATCTTGTTTCTTGATGCATTATTTTATTGAGCGTTACGTTAATGTAGTACTTACTGCAGGACTTTGGGCTAAACCCAATAAGTCATGAACAGTGAATTATTTTATAATTAAAAAAAAATTCAGTAAACCGCGCGTTTGTAAAAATATATGAATTAAATTATGTTTTATATCTGTTAATGTATGAATGTTGAATGTGATTATAACACTTTAAAATATTATAAATTGATGAGAAAAAGCTGAAAATTACGGAGATTATTTAATTTTATATATTTTTACTGAAACATGTAATGTTAATAGTTTAAAGACAGAGGGTCCGGAAGAGACATCAGAATGGCTAGAAACAAATATTAAAAAAGACCAAAAAAAATCTGAAAAATTATAGAAACTGTGTAAAATTTTATTCACTTTATTGATGTCGAATTATTTCAGATTTAAACACTTTTAAACAATTTTTTTAGCAATTATTTCATACATTGATTATTTTAATAATAAAATGTGAGATTAAAAAACAGTTATTTATAAATATACTGATAACTTACCAGGATGAAGCCTTTCATATTTAAATTACGTGAAATAATCTTGAATGAAATAGAGTTTGATGGTACAGCAAAGAGAACAACACAAGAACTGGATTGGTAGGTGCCCGCCCAATGAAGTAACCGACCGGCGGTTTAAATTCTTCGATTTATAGTGCCTCGAAAGTTGGTTTAACCCTGATTGCCTTAAAAAACAATTAACTACACCTCACCTCTCCAGAAATGCTCTCTTTTGTCTTTAGCTCCACCCAAAAATAAAACACTTGACTATTTTCATAGATAACTTTTTTCTATTAAAAATAAATTATTAATGCATTCTCAACATGATAGGCTTAGTGTGTCTATGTATAAAACATACAATTCTGCAAATTCTATATCACAAAAAGAAGAAATAAACTATATTAATCAGACTGTACGTCGTGATCAGACACGAGGTACAAGAACTGGAAGGCAATTGCTAATAAGGTAATTCCAAGTAAATCCCCGACGGAAGTCAGATACGGTATAGCTGAGTTGTCTGGATCTATCTTCTTTTTCCACATCCAGTGAATTAGAATGTAAGCCACATAGAGTAACGTAGCTACTTGTATGATGGCTGCCAACAGATACACGACGACAAACAAGGAACTGAGCGAGGTATCTCCGTCCTTTAAATAGTCAATTGTGTAGATGAATATGAGGTGTCCAGGAATGACCATCGCCATCAAAATCCTAGTGGTGCGAGCGTGACCGTCCTTTCCACAAAAGCCCGTCATGGGGGAAATGAAAATTTTCCTGTCATCTTCATCGTCGTTTTCCGAATTTAATTCGCCTAATTCGGCTTCTTTGTGAAGGGCTGTTGATATTCTGCTGGCTTGCACGGCTACTAAATTACCTCCCACACCGTTTATTACCGGTGAAAATACGGCTATCCCTTCAAATCTGGAAACCATGAAGTCCAGAATCAACCCTCCCATCGAGCTGATGAACATTGCTCCCACTACGGGAGTCCAACCGTGAAAAAGAACTTCTCTTGTCAAAGGATTTCGTTTGGCTATCCAAACCCATAGCGGGATGAGCATGATATACATAGCAATTATTAGGGGTGCTAGCCAGTCTTGCTCACCTTAAAAGAATCCATAATATAGGACATATTAGTTAAATAACTGAGTATTACTTACCAATTGATTCGTATAAAAACGTGGATGCCAAGGAAAGTAAGGTCAATGAAGTCAAGTCGCCCAGACTAGCTGCAATAGGCGTGGCAACATTATCTGGATTGATATGGCAATATCTGGAACATATTATTACGCCTGCTGTAATGAGTCCTAGGATAAAACTGGCAATTGACACTGTCACTAAACTGCTGGCGCATAGAATATAAGCATGGTCTAGTTCTACTTCGTTGCTTTTAATGCCACCCATCACAATCGCAACCAAAGCTCCAAGGAAGCCTACAACGATGGCCTGACACTGAATAAGAGTCAAATTGCCAACGATAATACTGATTTTTTGTTTGGTTGTGTCCATATGGCCTAGATTGGCTTGCGTAGACAACCTGGACGATAGGGTCATTTCTATATTGCCTTTTAATCCTAGGAGAGCTGGTATAAGAATCACTAATTCTGTTATTTCTTCAAAAACTGGCCAATGCTAAAAGACACGTTATCATAAGTAAAATACACTCAGATGCAAAGAAAACGCAACGGAGACATTTTTGGTCAAATTTCTTAAAGTGTTATATTTTTGATATTTTTAGCCCTATTTTCATGAATTTTTTAGCAAGCTGTATATAATTATATCAACTTTAATTCGTAAACTCAGTTTTTTACAAATAACAAAAATATAACACTTTAAAAATTCGATGTACTTAAACAGCCGTTAAACGGTAGCCTACTAAAATGCCGTTAATAGATATTGTGACGTCGTTCATGTCGGCGGAAAGTAATGCCTACCTATAAGCATTTTGCAAGAGCACCTGTGGCTCCTTGGCTGAGGCTATCGCTTCGTGAGCGCATGGTCCGTGGTTCAATTCTCACGCCGACCAAGATTTTTTATATTTTTTTTGCTTATAGCGTGATCTTATTGCATTGGTTTCACACTTTTTGGTTGGATTGGTTTAGTTATTTGGCGGGTTGGTTAGCGTGGTTATTTGGAGGGTGTTAATTCATTGGTTAGTTGGTTATTTGGTGGGGTTGGTTGGTTTTTACTAATTTATATTTGTTTTTTATATATTTTTATCAGTGTCGAGGTTAGTTGCGTTGGTTAAGTTGGTTATTTGGTGGGGTGGATAACGTTAGTTCTTATAAAATTCCTATATTTCATAAAGCCCGTCAAGTGCGTCACATCAACGACGTCATATCTATTAACGGCATTTTAGTAAGCTGCCGTTTAACGGTAGTTTAAGTACAGCCTTAAAAATTTGACCAAAAATTTCTCCGTTGCGTTTTTTTTGCATCTGGGGTGACAACTTGAAAACGAACAGTACTTAGTATTACCTCTACCGATGATAGTATGAAAATTTGGCGAATTACCTCAATTTACATATCAAGGGGGACAATTTTTGAGGCATTTGTTGTCGTGTTACTTTCAACCTTTTGACCCTCAGGGCACCTATCCCTAAAATTTTAAATGGCAACCCCTATTTCTTTTACCATTTTTGTGTTCCTTATAAAATTCTCAAAAAAATAATGCAGTTTATGTAGAATTCTATAAGAAACACAAAAATGGTAAAAGAAATAGGGGTTGCTATTTAAAATTTTAGGGGTAGGTGCCCTGGGGGTCAAGGGGTTGAAAGTAATACGACAACAAATGCCTCAAAAATTGTCGCCCTTGATATATAAATTGACGTGTTTCATACTATCATCGGTAGAGGCAATATTAAATACTGTTCGTTTTCAAATTGTCACCCTGTATACCTTAATAGTAGGTTTATTTAATAATATATATATATACAGGGTGGTCCGAACTGTATTCCGGAAACTGCGGCAGCATATTCTGCAGATAAAAATAAGTAAAATAGTTCATATAAATGTATGTCCTAAAATGCTTACTTTCGGAGATACAGGGTGTAGAAGCTTCATTTTTATTTCGATTTTTTCTAAATAATTTCTGAAATAACGTCAATATCTGTATGAAAATTGGTATCTGGGAGTTTTATGATACGAGAAATTTGATTTTGATGTCAAAATGACTCCTATTTGTAGGGGGCGCCACCTACATGCGTTTTGACTGTTTTGAAGAGTAATAACTTTTCGACGGTACCTGTATAAAACTACTGACTAAAAAAATATCCATTTCCATGACTTTTTACGTAAAAAATGTCTCTTGGTAAAAATAGCTACAGGCAACCGTTCTCAAGATATTTAAAATGGAAGTAGTCAATACACGTCATTATTGACAAAAAATAAGTACACGAGTGTAGAGTTATTTGACTGAAATAATAAATTTTTATTTTTTTAAATTAATCATAATTTTTTCTGTGAAAAAATGATGACTAAACAGTTTCTGTTGAACTTTTGGCACAAAAAGATTTCAAATTTAAGAATTCAGTCTAATAACTATTTGGTCAACATGTTTAATTTGTCAATGATGACAGGTATTGATAATTTCAATTTCAAATACCTCGAGAACCATTACTCGTAGCGATTTTTACCAAGAGACCTTTTTTATGTAAAAAAAAGTTGTAAATGTATATTTTTCTACTCCGTAGTTTTATACAGGTATGGATGAAAAGTTATTACTCTTCAAACCAGTTAAAGCCCTTGTTTATAACATAATCAAGGGTTAAAGCATATGTAGGTGGCGCCCTCTACAAGTAGGAGTCATATTGACATGAAAATCAAATTTCTCATGTCCAAAAACTCCCAGACACCAATTTTCATCCCAATATTGACGTTATCCCAAGCAGCATTTGGACGTCGGGACAACGTTGTGTCACGCGACCAAACGTCGGGGCGCGACGTCGGCACAACCTCGTGCCAACCCTAGTCTGCACTAGTTTGGAGAATAATTTTTAGGTCGAAACGACGTTGGATACCGACGTTGGCTAGCAGCCTAATTTAGTACAAACTGCAACTTTGTTTAAAATCCTAATTCACAGAAATACAAAACTATAATAATATGGCGTCTAAGTCGCGTTTTATCCTAAATTGGGATCATTATAGTAAAAATATTATTTTTATGATTTAGTTAGAGACATATGTCAGATGGCAGTGAAGGAAAACAAAACAAAAGTATTTAAGTGTGGAGGATGTTTGAAGATCATAATTATTGAAACACTTTAACCGACTCTGTAACTCGTTACCCAAGGCAAAAAGTTAAACGCAAACAACTTTATTGATAAATGTATTGTTCCTACTTTTGAAAAATACCAATGGGCCTTAAAATTAAAGAAGTTTTAAAATTTTTCTTGAATTTTTTTTTAGTAAAATGAGAATAATTTATTCGCAGTCGAAAAATTGTTTCCGCGTGTTTTTAGGGTCAAATATTTCAAGTAAACGTATTCAAAAAGCAGGAATTGATATTTTAGGAACGAAACATTTTCTTATTTAACAACATGGCGGCTTTCACTTTGTTGTTTTGGAGATTAAGATGGAGTAGTTCGAGTAGTCGCATACTGGACTAATAAAGTCGCAGTTCGGCCTTAACAGGTAGTATACTAGTCGCAAGATTGCCTAATTTAGTCATCCTAGAGTCTAGCTTGTGCCGCCCTCTATAATCTAAATAAACGAGGGAGTGGATAAACTATCGGTAATATATGTCGATGTATATTTAAATTTAGTTTTATATGTACCTTTCTTATGTCCCATTTTAATTAAGGTTTTTTTATAAAAACAAAAACATTTGCAAAAAGGTAGTGACTCGACGTCCTACCAACGTAAGAATAAGGAAATCTAAACAACGTTGGAATTAGTAAAACAGACGACGTTTGCATAACGTTGGAATAGGTCCTGAAACTGACGTCGGAAAACTCTATATTGTCCAACGTTGTAACTACGTTGTCCGAATCACCTAAAGATCACTTAAGCAAAAATGGTTACAAGACAACGTTTATTCGACGTCGCAGAAGCTTCTACTTTGCTGTAGTACTAGTCCAACGTCGGCACAACGTTATAAAAACGTTTAAATTTATTTTAATATCTAAGGTAGGGAGCTAACTATTTTTTGTAACTAATCCAACGTTGTGTTTAGTAAACATGTGGTCGCAAGTCGTGAAAATGCTACTTGGGACCCAATATTACACGTTAATGAAATTTCTACACCCTGTATCTCCGAAACTAAGCATTTTAGGACATACATTTATACGAACTTTTTTACTTAATTTAATCTGCAGAATATGCTACCGAAGTTTCCGGAATACAATTCGGACCACCCTGTATACGAATACTTACTTGGATTTTGTCTAAAACCAAGCCAGCCATTACCATACCAAATCCTGCAATCAGGAATGGTATAAAGACTTGAATAGTGATAGAAAAGTAAGTTTCCTTGATTTCATCGTCGTTGCATACTTTTGCTTGTGCCACAATATCAGGAAGCTTGCCATTGTCATTTTCGTTATTGTCTTCTGATACCACAGTTGTGATGGCATTTAACATTTCTATTGCAGTGTGGGTGGCGTTAAGTTCCGCGTCTTTTTCTGGTGCCTGTAGGTGATTGGAACCCTCCATTTTTTCTCCATTGCTTTCCTTGCTAAAAAATACAACAGCAAACTGTCAGCAAGAAATTAAATTTTATTTTCTACTACATTTCAATGTTAAATTTTTTTATTATATATTTATACCTGCTACACTTAATCTAAACGTTTACAATTTTGTTGAAATATAAAATAACAAACTCGAAAGACTGAATAAGGCAATATTTACAATATTATTATATGTTTATTTAAAATTAACATCGATGAAACTGTGTTTGTTTCGATAGGTATAGCACAGTAAAATATTTCAACTTAGGCAATAACTTAAATTTAATGATCACTTAATCATCTAAGACTTTGTTAGTAATATAAAACAAAATATAACAAAATCATATTCACAAAGATAACAGAAATATGTTTGAAGGGTATTATAAAGTAAGGTACAGGTACAATGGTACAAAACATTTCAGATAAATATTGTAAACGCATAAATAGAATTATATAAACATACCTTTAAAAAAAATGTTTAAATTTGGATCTTGTGCCTGTTAAGTGCACTAAATAAAAAATAGGGCTATTTAGCCATAAAGGCTTTCAAACGTTGTTTGCTGAACTACATCATTTATTATACTAAAAACTGTCTAGACTTTTCATCGCCCTGAATCGATCAATTTTTACAGACATGTGCTTTAGAGACCCTTCAGCAGAACGGAATTTTTTTTATTAAACAATTACAAATTATATGATATTACTGTATAGACGTTATAATACGTGTAGAAGCGCTGTTTAATAATTTTCTTTGATATACGGCTTTATAATGAGGAAAAAACTGTTAATGCAAAGGAACAATTTTCAGTTGAGATGTTTAAATTACGAAAATCATCCTAATTGATGATTACTACGAATTTGAACGATTATTTTTTGTGGTGTTTCTATAGTCATGTCCTGCCTTCTTTCAGAAAAATTCAAGGTTTTGGCAGTTCTAAATTAGTATTATAAGATCATTTTAGGAAATGTTCTATTTCCTTTGGAGCGAGTTTTGGCACCGAAATTTTTCTCTGCCCACTTTATAAAAATTATTTTTTTATTTTCACAGTTTGTAATTACATACCTTAGTTTAGACTTTCTTATAGACATTTACAGACAACTTTGGTGCGTAAAATTTTTGCTATTCATTTATACCAATAGATGTAATAAAAAAATAACAACTCTCGCGATTTAAAATATTTTATCAACACTGCAAAAACAATTAAAATGATACACAAACAATTACGAAAATATTTACATATATTATTATTAAAACAAATTAATCCACGTCTAAGGGGTTAATGATTTAAAAAAAAACTCAGTTTCAACCTTAGGGCGGTTAAAATTTAAATGATTATCTATTCAGGGAAGATTCAGATCACATGCCTGTATCTTGTGTAGATAATATTAAATGTAAGATGTTTTTAGTTTAGTTTCTGAGTCTTAAAAACCTAGTCCTACCCTGTGTCCATCTGAGCATATCTTCAATCCTTGGTGGAGGAATCATGTTAGAAAAGCTGCTGAGCTTTCGTGGCTATACATTTAAAAATGGGCACAGCACCTGACGTAGTAAAAAAGGACGCACAAGAGCACACACCTGTTGATTTGCAAAAAAATATATCTAGATATGTCGAATTGTAAGAAGTTTGTTCAGTTTGCGAAGATTTTTACACCTTTCAATTGAATGTCTTATTTTAGACTAGTTAGTGCGCAATTGTCCTGCAATAGCCTACAAGTTATTATGGCCCATTATGTTATTACGCCCTCAAATGCTTTAAATGCGTAAAAATGGCCCATGAATTTGCTATGAGCCATAGGCCTTGAGATATTATTTATGTAACTTTGGCTATCCGAATCTTAGACGAGCTTCTTACTAATGTCTTGTACAACAAGAATAATTAATACATTTGAGAGGAGAACACTCAAATTACTTGCATTTTGTTATAATAAATAAAGCTTTGAAATATTTATAGAACAATAGAAGTTAATTTGACTTAAGTTATCATTAGAAACGGATTTGGGTCAGTTAGGAAAATTAGGTGACCATAGTTTTATTACATAATAGCTGACAAGTGGTGGCTTTAAATCATTATAAGTGGAGGTATACTCTTCAATCATATCAGTGTGCAAATAATATTCTCCTTTTGTTATTTCAAACAGCCACAACTAACGAAAAGAATAAATATTATTTGCATTAAACCCTTTACTTGTCTAATTTTTTAATAAAAATTATTAAAAAAAATAAAATTAAAAAACTAAATACTATATAAAAAAAATTTCAACAATTTTATATCCAACACATTTCAAGTGCTATTCAGCTTTGTTTAATATGGGAAACACATATAATATTTTTAAAAGAAGTAGCATTTTTTTCATCCGTCAGCAGCTAAGAACAATTTTTTAATTTATTTTTGAAATTTAAAAAAAATTAAAGGCACCTTCACCATTTTGCCAAGAAAAAAATTTTGCCAGCATTTTTAATTTTTATGGCTATACAAATTGATAATAATAATCTTATAATAAGTTTAATTATATTATTAAATTCAAATTTAATATTTAAAAACATATATTACTTCTGTTTAGTGTTCTAGTTTCATATCAATGGTATTAATTTAGTACTAAGGTTTAGAATATATTATGATTAGATTTAGAATAGAATATGATTTTGTACTAAATAAAATTTGTAATAAAATATATTTTTTAAATAAATTTAGACTGTATTCGATAATATAATAATATAAAATTTAAATAAATTCAGAAAATAACGTTGTATATCTGGCTGCATAATGAAGACAACTAAATAAATGCAAGTGCTATCCATAGAGAATATAAAATAAAATATAGAAGGAAATTTAGATCAGCTGATTGTCAGAATTTGAAAATTGTGTTTGACGTTTCGTGTATGGAGTGTAGAGGTACTACCTCTACGCTCCATAGTTTCGTGTTTAAATATAAGTATTTGGTTCTAGGATTTTATGCATATTTTTGTTATCTTAAACGTTTAAAGACTAGCCGAGAATGTCAGTTTGTCGCGGTTCGTTTTCGTCGAAGCATCCACCTTTATTCTGTTCGCAATGTTGACAAATCCGCAAAAAAGTTTAAATAAACACCATGGATTCCACATTAAAAAAAAGAAAATTCAATAAGGATCGTCAATTTTTAAACTCTATGATGGTGGGAAATGAAAATGAAGTTGTAAAATCTCTACAGGTTGTTATGTTGGTTCGTCACGTTAATATTACCTTTATTGTAGGAAGAGGATGGCAGTGAATACCCATCTGATACTTCAATACTGCTCAACAGGGGATCAACCAAAGAAACTGTGGTTTTATTTCAAAAAGAATCAGTATGGGCGACAGCAATACAAATGTTCATACCTTTCCTCCTTGCTGGATTTGGAATGGTTGCAGCAAGTCTACTGTTAGATAAAGTACAACATTGGCCAGTGTATCAAAATGTGTCTGAAGTTTATATTTTAGTACCTGCATTGCTAGGCTTAAAAGGCAATTTGGAGATGACTTTGTGTTCAAGGCTGTCTACTCACGCTAATTTAGGACATTTAGATAGTAAAAAGCAAAAGACTAGTTTAATTGTAGGGAACATAGCTTTAATATTATGTCAAGCAATTGTTGTTGGGTTTTTGGCCTCACTTGCCGCTGTAGTGTTTGGGTGGATTCCAAAAGGAATTGTTAACATTCAACATGCCCTACTTTTAAGTGCCAGTAGTATAGTCACAGCCTTTGCGGCTAGTTTTGTGCTCGGATTGGTGATGGTGGGTGTAATAATTTTCTCTCGGCATTTTCATATCAATCCTGACAATGTAGCTACTCCTATAGCAGCCGGTTTGGGTGACCTAACAACTCTCGCAGTTTTATCATACTTTGCCTCATTGTTTTATAGAACTATTGATAGTCATCCCTGGTTAACCCCAACATTAATTGTTTTAGGTTTAGGTTTGGTTCCTTTATGGGCTTATATAGCTAGTGAAAATAAATATACGCGTGAAGTATTGTTTTCTGGGTGGAGTCCAGTTATATCAGCCATGATAATAAGCAGTGCTGGTGGACTTATTTTAGATTTTACTGTGTCACAGTTCAAGGGGGTTGCAGTATTTCAATTAATTATTAATGGGGTAGGTGGTAATTTAGTGGCTGTTCAAGCTAGTCGCATATCAACTGAGTTGCATAGTCAAGGTGAGCCTGGTTACCTCCCTGAAACGATGCAAGTGTGCATTAGTCCATGTTCCGCGTTCTGTGATGAGAAAAAAACCAGCCATACAGGTACAGCAAAGATGCTCATGCTCATGGTTGTTCCTGGTCATTTAATTTTCTCATATATGATTAGTTACTTGCAAGCTGGCCATACTTCATTTACTATAATTTTTATGGCTGTTTACTTATCGGCGGCGCTGTTACAAGTATTTTTATTACTTTATATCGCTCAAGTACTGACTTTGAGCATGTGGCGGGCTGGTGTTGATCCCGATAATTCTGCCATTCCTTACTTAACGGCTTTAGGTGACTTATTAGGGACTATGCTTCTCGGAATCGCCTTTCAATTCCTTTATCTTATTGGCGATGGAGATAGCGATGTGGGAGATTAATTTTAAAATGTTTATATGTATATTGTAAATCATAAATTTTAATGTATAAAAAAATATTTTAATTGTTACATCCCTGTCTGAACGATTGTTAACCAGAAGGAGATATTTTGTATTTGTTTAATTAATTTTTTATGAAGAGAAGATTAAATAAATCACGTCTTATCGTTATCTTTTATTTCTTCTTATTTAAGATATGTCTTAGGAATTTGATAAAGCCTGTTAAAAATGGTTTTAAATTAAATTATATAGCTATACTTTGAATTAACAATTAAAACACCAAGAAATATTTTAAATAACATTTTATTTCTCTGTATATTTCTAAGTTTACACAATTATTTTCTGTTATAAGTATCACGTATATTTTTTGCTGATGAAATAAAATCAGAAGTTAAACCATTTCAAATACAGTACAATGACTTTAAGGCTGTTTGTATTACAAATTTGAAACTCAAGGTTTTATTAATCAAACATTTTCTATGTCGTTAATCGATAATTAATCGAGGAGCATCTATAAATTCAAGGTTGAAAGATTGTGATTACGATTTTTTTTATACAATTGTTTTTTTGTTACAGAGATTGGCATCGGGTTAATGAAAGGCAACATATTTGTTAATTTTAGCTGGAAAAAAGAGTTAACATTTTGCATCAGTTTGTTAATACAACAAGCAAAAACTGTACTCTCATTCGAATTCCCTGTTTGCCTTACAAAAATTAAATGCTTCCAACATCAAACTGTTGTTCGGACACAGAGTAATGAAAAGTTTAATTAATTAACAAGATAATTATCAAATTTATTTGATAGAGACGCTTAATGGAAATACAAAAGAATTCCTATTGGGTAGGTATACAAGTTTTGCACCATTTTCAGCTACATATTTTCTCATTTATCTTTACACGCGATTCTAGAAGTATTGTTTATTATAATTTTATTTACACTACTACATCATGTTACTTTCATCATCTTATTTTACAAAATAAATAAAGTCAACCCTGTAATTCATTTCATTCGCCACTTAAAAACAATAAGTACGCTGTTCTTGGCAACTGAAGGTACTGTTTCTTTTTTCTTCCCTTGGATTTTGTACCGAACGAGGAACAGTATCGTTCCCCGAAAGCTCTGGTCATCCGTAGTAGTACTGGCTAGTACTTGCGTCTTTCATGTTCCTGTTAGGGGTCACGTGACTGTCCAGCACTGGACCTGCTGGTCCCCTAAACGTATGTGAGTGAGAATGCATGTGGAGGTAATCTGCACACTGTGGGTATCTCACGACTTCGGCTATTGTACCCATAGTACTTATCGGTACTGCATGGACGGTGACGGATGGTATTGATGGAATTGACATCGGGAGTGTCGTTTGAAGGTCGATATCTGCATCAACCTGTAAAATATTAGTAGGAATAAGTTGGTATACCTAACTTAAACTAAGAATCTTATGAACATATAAATATACCCTAAGCAAGTTTGAGCGTTTTTAGTAACCAAGTTCTGAACCATCTGTCTGTACAGGGTGGGTCAAATTGGACGCTTTTAACCGGAAACGCCCTATTTTCTATAGGAGATAGACAAAAACTAATATCGGTGTCTGGAGCTCAATTTTTATTAAAAATATGATGGTGAAAACCGCACGTTGATATCTGTTACCGTTTCGGAGTTACCGGGTGTTTTTCAAAAATGTGCATTTTTAACAAATCGCTGTAACTTTTTGCTGTGGAAAATTTTGTATTTTTATGAAAACATTTCCAAAGCATCTTTTTACGTAGAATTTAATGGTTTAAGTATAATTTTTTTAAATTTATAATTTAAGAATTATCAACAGAAAATTTGATTTTTTATATGGGACACCCTGTACATTTTTAATTCATTTAAAATAATTTAAAATTACCTTTCCAAAAATATAACATACTTGATTTTAAAAATTAGCACACTTTGAACAAGTAGGCTTTGAAACGCGCCGGCTGTAATGCAAAAAAATTGTAGCTGTGAGCTGCAATTAAAACGAAAACAACATTTGCAATGAGAGATGCAGAATTTTATAACAATTTAAACTATATTTACCAACATTAACACATTTAAACTATATCTAATAACAATAAAGCAACCAAGACATGAGATTTTGCTAGGATCTTAATATACAAATAGCACTTTATTGAACAAAACCTAGGAATGCAGAAAAAATATTCATACAGGCTCATCCTTTCATTACATCTATATCACAGATCAATCAAATATAATTATAGATAATTTTTTTTTTAAGATAAAGTTACACAACATGATAAAAGATACTTGTATTATTTTACTTAACCTTAGAATCTTGGTTAGCTAATTAATTATTCTCGAAATTGGCCGCAAAAATTTGCTGATAACTTCAGCGTTCTGAGGCGGTGCCTTGTCTTGCTGGAAAAATGTGTTTTCGAGTTCCATTAGGGACAGATCATCAATAAGGGGTCCAAAGCCTACTAGTTAAAAGTGGCGAACTTTTAAAAATTCTGTATTTCAAAGATTATTATAACAAAATATCAAGTGTGCTATATTTTTGGAAAGGTAATTCTAAGTTCTTTTTACTTAATTAAAAATATACAGTGTGTCCCAAATAAAAATCAAATTTTCTGTTAATAACTCTTAAATTATTAATTAAAGAAAAATAATTAAACAATTAAATTCTACGTAAAAAGGTGCTTTGGAAATGTTTTCACAAAAATACAATATTTTATATAGTAAAAAAAAATTACAGCGATTTTTTAAAAATGCAAATTTTTGAAAAACACCCCGTAACTCCGAAACGGTAACAGATATCGATGTACGGTTTTCATCATCATGTTTTTGATAAAAATTGAGCTCCAGACACCAATATAGTTTTCGTCTATCTCCTAGAGAATATAGATATAATATATAGAGAATACAAAAGTCTGAACAAGTCGTTGTATAATGGACACAATCTTTATCTGCGGCGTTTTGCGTACGAAAAGTCGTTGCGTGTGGACCCCACTTAAGACGGTGTGAGGGTGTGAGGTTTATTAATTACTTCAGTTTTGACGTAGATGCGATCTACTAATTTTCCACATCTGAGTCTCCCGAATTTTGCGGTTTATTGTTTTCCGAATATGCTATTTGTATTTTGTCGTATCTGTAGAAAACGGCGGCAAATTCTTCGCTTAAGGCATTTAATTTTCGGCGGATGTAAGACTTATAGGTGAAAACAGAAACTGTACCGCCAGGGCGGAGATGAAATATCGGTAGTAGATTTACGCGTTGCTTGAAAAGTTATGTGAAAATATATTCATCTTTTTCAATGTTTATATTTATGTATTTCAAATTCTCAAAGGCGGATCATATTTTCTAAATAAATCGAAAAAGAATTGGCTTTCAATGGAAACAATGCATGTGTCTTTTTTATCAAATAACACATACTGATCTCTTCAAAAAAGTCCTATGGGTATTTCGCCACTTGCACTTTTAAGAAAATCTACAAAATAAAATAGTTCCCAAGCAGCATTTGGACGTCGGGACAACGTTGTGTCACGCGACCAAACGTCGGGGCGCAACGTCGGCACAACCTCGTGCCAACCCTAGTCTGCACTAGTTTGGAGAATAATTTTTGGGTCGAAACGCGACGTTGGATACCGACGTTGGCTAGCAGCCTAGTTTAGTACAAACTGCAACGTTGTTTAAAATCCTAATTCACAGAAATACAAAACTATAATAATATGGCGTCTAAGTCGCGTTTTATCCTAAATTGGGATCATTATAGTAAAAATATTATTTTTATGATTTAGTTAGAGACATATGTCAGATGGCAGTAAAGGGAAACAAAACAAAAGTATTTAAGTGTAGAGGATGTTTGAAGATCATAATTATTGAAACACTTTAACCAACTCTGTAACTCGTTACCCGAGGCAAAAAAGTTAAACGCAAATAGGACTTAAAATTAAAGAAGTTTTAAAAAATTCTTGATTTTTTTTTAGTAAAATGAGAATAATTTATTCGCAGTCGAAAAAAAATTGTTTCCGCGTATTGTTTAGGGTCAAATATTTCAAGTATTCAAAAAGCAGGAATAGCTATTTTAGGAACGAAACATTTTCTTATTCAACAACATGGCGGCTTTCACTTTGTTGTTTTGAAGATTAAGATGGAATAGTTCGAGTAGTCGCATACTGGACTAATAAAGTCGGAGTTCAGCCTTAACAGGTAGTATACTAGTCGCAAGATTGCCTAATATAGTCATCCTAGAGTCTAGCTTGTGCCGCCCTCTATATTCTAAATAAATGAGGGAGTGGATAAAGTATTGGTAATATGTCGAAGTATATTTAAATTTAGTTTTATATGTGCCTTTCTTCCGTCCCATTTTAATTAAGTTTTTTTTTATAAAAATAAAAACAGCACTGAACTGTCTGACTGAACAGAACAATGAAGTGAAAATTTAAGATTTAAGGCTATGGTTCAATACAGTTGCAAAAAGGTACTGGCCTGACGTCCTACCAACGTAAGAATAAGGAAATCTAAACAACGTTGGAATTAGTAAAACAGACGACGTTTGCATAACGTTGGAATAGGTCCTGAAAGTGACGTCGGAAAACTCTTTATTGCCCAACATTGTAACTACGTTGTCCGAATCACCTAAAGATCACTTAAGCAAAAAGGTTACAAGACAACGTTTATTCGACGTCGCAGAAGCGTTTACTTTGTTGTAGTACTAGTTCAACGTCGGCACAACGTTACAACAACGTTTACATTTATTTTAATACCCAAGGTACGGAGCTAACTATTTTTTGTAACTAATCCAACGTTGTGTTTAGTAAACATGTGGTCGCAAGTCGTGAAAATGCTACTTGGGTTATTTTTTGTAAACACTGCTGGCGTTAATCCAACGGAGACCAACTTGTCAGCAGTGATTTACTAATAAAGAAATTTGCCTAAAGCCGGTCCCAGACACTACGTGCATTTGGCGAATGTGCGAACATTCGAATTATGTACTGCGGCTTCGGCCACCTTCCCACACGCTACGTTATTTGTAAAAATACGTCCAATAACAAATATTTGCCGTAGTAGAGCAACGCGTAGGGGAGCGCGCCGCTAAAACAAGAAAAAACACGTAAACAAATAGCTGTAGCGTTTGGGAGTAATTCCGAAGTTGACTACGCCGGACTACGAGCTCCTTTGATTCGTGCCAGTTTACCGACAACCGCCGGGAAAATGACCAAGACGAATCTTCGTCGAAGGTAACCTCCCACACGCTACGCGAATAAGCTCGAATACCGAATATTCGCTAAATGCACGTAGTGTCTGGGACCGGCTTAACGGACAAGAAATGTTTAACGTTTCGGGAAGTATATCTCTTCCCGTCGTCGGAAGCAAAAAAAAAAACAAAAAACAAATCAAAAAACTACTTTTAAATTATCTAAAGTAAGTATAGATATTTTTTAACATACACTGTCTCTGGATTGTCTTTACAAGAGGGAAAACTTTTTTATTTTCCACGTTTTGAGAAAAATATGCATTCTTCATAAAACTTTTTGCTTGTTCTATAATGGCTAATTCCGTTTATACTTTTCCAAATTTCCATAACGTTTTAGAGAATTAAGAAAAACATGAAAATATGGTTGAATTTTTTTTAATATTCATCCTATGGTTGAAAATCCTAAAAATCAAAAGGCGTGTTTCTATGGTAATATAACTTCGTTTTGATTCTTTGATAGATTGTTATTCATAGAATTTTAATTAATATTAATATTTTTTGTTGTTTTAAGGAACGGGAAAGGGTGATGATAGTTATCGGATCATTATTGACAAAAAATAAACCCGTTGAGTAGATATATAGGGTGATAATTTGAAAACGAACAGTATTTTAATATTGCCTCAGGGCACCTACGCCTAAAATTTTAAAAAGCAACCCCTATTTCTTTTACCATTTTTGTGTTTCTTTTTGAATTTTACATAAACTGCATTATTTTTTGAGAATTTTATAAGTAACACAAAAATGGTAAAAGAAATTTTGAGGTTGCCATTTAAAATTTTACGGGTAGATGCCCTGGAGGTCAAAGGGTTGAAAGTAACACGACAACAAATGCCTCAAGAATAGTCCCCCTTGATATGTAAATTGACGTATTTCGCCAAATTTTCATACTATCATCGGTAGAGGTATTATTAAATACTGTTCGTTTTCAAATTATCACCCTGTATACCTTAATAGTAGGTTTATTTAATAATATATATACAGGGTAGTCCGAACTGTATTCCGGAAACTGCGGTAGAATATTCATGTCATGGGCGCCGGAAGAATGAAATTTAGGGGGGGGCAAGGTAAAAATGAATAAAAAATTGACATTTTTGGTAATTATTGGGAAAACTGGAAATCGTCCGATTTTCACCAAAATTGGTATACACCCTATTTTGAAGTCGTAGATTACGAATCTGAACTTTTTTCTTGGTGGTCTCTTACCGTTTTTCAGAAAAACGGAAAATAATTCAATATCGAATTTTTCTTAATTTCTCATATTTTTAAGGTTTTCTAGCATATATTTTGTTAGGTATTCAGTAATCAATAATGTTTTTGCTATTTTCTGTTACTTTTTTAACCAATTCTATGCATAATAGAGGAAAATTTGCTAAAATAAATTTGTAAACAATCTGAAAATGTTAGATTATAGCTTTGTTCGGGTTCTTGTTATTACCGATTCTGAACCGTCCAAGAACTCTGCAGCGCATGCGCAAATGAAATAATGTCTTCATATTTCCTTCTGCGCATACGTATCACAGTTCTAGGACGGTTCAGAATCGGTAATAAGAGAAACCCGAAGTAAGCTTATGTGTTTCAGGCATTTAAAGCAACGTTGCCAATTCTAAACCTAAATTTCGCGTATTTTTTTCGCTCATTCTGGAATTACGAAAGGCGGTCGCCAGAAGCAGTCCTTCCCATAACTGCTATTTTACCAACGAGATCTGACTATTTATACCCACGAAGTTGCACGAAAGAATTTTGATTGCAAAGATTAACCCCTCCGCAAAGAAGTTAAAACCAATGCAATCAAAACTCTTCCGCGTAATTTTGTCGATATAGGTGTATATTTAATTATTGTCGATCTCATAATAGGTAATTTATTTAAAATCCCTAATCACCCGAAAAAATAGAAGATATGGCAACGTTGTAATTTTTCAAATTTCTAGATTAGGTCTAGAATATATTTGTCTCTCTTATTACATAGGAGAGAGAAAGAAGTATATATCAAATGTCAAACTTCCATCTCAATTTTCTTTGCTATTTTGTTAAGAAAAGTGTTTTTCAGTAAAATGTTGGACACTTTTTTATCCCCAATCAAGTGTGGCTTTTAGATAAACTATAATATAATGAAAATATAGTGAAATTATTACTTTATAGTGCCGAAATAAAGAAAAATTCAATGTTGAAATAATTTTCCGTTTTTCTGAAAAGCCAAGAAAAAAGTAGATTCGTAATCTACGACCACAAAATAGTGTGTATACCAATTTTGGTGAAAATCGGACGATTTCCAATTTTCCCAATAATTACCACATTTTTTATTATTTTACAGGTAACAACTAACAATTTTATAATAATGATTATTTTTTTACAGATGGATGTAAGAAGACAGCTTTTATTTTTATTGTTTCAGTAATCCAGGGGGGGGCAAATGCCCCCTCTTGCCCCCCCTGTCCGGCGCCCATGATTCATGTATAGTTATTTAACTGAAATAATAAATCTGGGAAATTTTTATGTTTTTAAATTAATCATAATTTTTTCTGCAAAAAAATGATGATAAAACAGTTTCTTTTGAACTTTTGACACTTTATGATCTCAGTCTAATAACTATTTAGTCAACATGTTTAATTTATGTCAATGATGACAGGTATTGATAATTTCGATTCCAAATATCTCGAAAACCAGTACTCGCAGCGATTTTGACCAAGAGACATTTTTTACGTAAAAAACGTCGTAAATGTATATTTTTTTACTCAGTAGTTTTATACAGGTACGGACGAAAAGTTATTACTCTTCAAAACATTTAAAAATATGTAGGTGGTGCCCTCTATTAGTAGGAGACATTTTGACGACATCAAAATCACATTTCTCATGTCAAAAAAACTCCCAGACACCAATTTTCATCCTGGTATTGACGTTACTGCAGAAATTATTTGGAAAAAATCGAAATAAAAATGAAACTTCTACACTCTGTATCTCCGAAACTAAGCATTTTAGGACATACATTTATACGAACTTTTTTACTTATTTTTATCGAAGATAGATATCAGAATATGCTGCCGAAGTTTCCGGAATACAGTTCGGGCCACCCTGTATACTGATAGTCTGACATGCCTACACAATAGAAGATCATGTATAGTACCCTTTTTTTTCAAAGTGATTTTTTTCTGATCGCGTAGTAAAAAGGATCGATTTTTAAATGAGAGAGCAAAGGGTGCTTTTTTGTTCGTCTTTCCGTCTCGTCCTAGCTAATATAGCAAGGATCGTTTTTGAATTCGCTTTGCTGTCCCTAAATAGATAAATGCCGTAAATGTTATCTGGCTGGAATGGTTCCCCGATGAAATAAAGACAATGCTATCGCGAAGTGGCGCTATTAGGGCCAAAGGGTAACTGTTAAGGGCCCTGTTTACAAACCTCGCTGATGTCGTCCGTAAATCCGTTGGCCAGGGTATGATCGGATATGCTGGTAGAGTAAAATTTTGCTTCTTTTTGCGATCTGTGGCGGATCAGAAGCAATCGACCTGCAATGATGCTCGCTGAAAGTACCAATATTATCGCCAAACTGATGCCCATGTATATTATATACTCTTTCTGAATTTCTGTAACAGAAAGTTTTTTTTTATTCAAATCAAATCAAATCAAATCTTTTTATTAGGCCCCAATATAAAAAATATATAAAATATAAACCATACTTTGGCTGACTAATAGCCTAATAGCCTAATAAGGAGTGCACCGCGATTACAAAACCGATTCACTGATTGCCAAAGGCATCAGTGTGGCACACTCCCTGTAAAAAATAACTAAACAGAATTTCATTTTCAATACAATAATATACCAACAACAAACAAACCCGTAAGAAAAACAGAGGGACCACCGGCAAAGCAAAAAAAAAACCCCGAGCGCACAGAACAAAGCGTTTGCAAGACAATTTAGCAATGTTAAAAATATATAAATACAATTTCAACACATACACAAATATTTTCCAAAATTGTAAAGCTGATCAGTGGCCAGTCAAAACCATATCAAATTAAAGGCCCGTTCACCACAGTTTGCCAAAATAACAAAAGATAAAAGATAAATTTAGAAATAAGTTCTATATTATATTCGATTGTAAAACCAGCAAATTATTCTTAACATATTTATTAAAATAATGTGATTTAAAGCATTTAACACTGATTGAAAGAGAATTCCATAATTGAGGCGCAAGAAAAGAAAACGATTTCTGAAAGCCAGCCGTCCTATGTTGAGGTATTCTGAAACGATGTAAGTTTCTTGTTACATGAGTGTGGTTAAAAGGAATAAACAATGATTTTAAATAAGGCGGTTGGCCAGTTTGTAAGATACGGTAGATAAATGTTAACATATGAAGTTTTCGCCTATTTACCATAGACAGAATATTAAATTGATTTAAATATGGCGTAATATGTGTATGAAATGAGATATTATACGAAAATCTCATGCAGGAATTTTGAAGTTTTTGAATGGATATGGCAACCATTTGAGTCAATGAAGAGCCGTATACCACATCTCCATAATCAAACAAGGACAAAATTAGCGAATTGCAAAGATCATATTTTGTATTCTGAGGAAGATGTTTCTTAAAATAAACCAAACCTTTTAGTCGCATATATGCAATTTTCAATTTATTTCTTACATGTATATCAAATTTTAAATTAGAGTCAAAATATATGCCGAGATTTCTAGCGTCCTTAACTATTGGTATTTTAGTATTATTAACACATATATCAAGATTGTCTGATAGATAATTGAGAATAGTCTGATTATTTCCAAACAGCATAATAAACGATTTGGATGCATTTAATTTTAGATTATGTTCCATTGAATATTTGTATATGTTATTAATATCTGTTTTAAAATTTTCTTCAGCTTGTTTTAAATTATCAGATGCAAAAGCACAGTAAATTTGTGAATCATCTGCATACTGTTGTAATGTAGAAAACTCAATTTCTTTATTCATATCGGCAACATATAATGAAAATAGCAATGGCCCTAATATGGATCCTTGAGGAATTCCACATGTCATAGAAACGTAATTTGACTTTAATTGATGATTCCCCTGTCTTACTTGAACGCAATGCAGACGATTAGAAAGATAATTTTTAAAAAACGTTATAGAGTTTTCTGATAATCCGAAGTAATGGAGTTTAGCTAGTAACATATCATAATTTATAGTATCAAATGCCTTGCTAAAATCAAGCAAAGCAAGACAGGTGATTTTTTTGTCTTCCATATTTACTCGAATGTCATTCACCAGTTTTACAAGACATGTGGTTGTACTAAATTTTTTTCTGAAACCGGATTGACACTCTGGCATTATTTTATTTTCGGTAAAAAATGAAAATAACTGCTTATGAATATGTTTCTCAATAATCTTAGAGACCACCGATAGAACACTGATTGGTCGTAAATCATTAAAAGTTTTTGGAACAGATACCTTGGCTAGAGGTCTAATAATAGATTTTTTCCAGATATCTGGATATAGGCAATCAAGTATGCAAGAGTTGATTATATTTATTAAAGCGTCCTTACAAAACGGTAAACAAAGCTTTCAATTCAATATTAATTATCAATTTTTTTCATATAATAATAAATTATTTCGAATTTTTAAACTTTTAAGGTAGTATTTTTAACATAAACAAAAATATTATAGCCTAGAAATAAAATATTATTAGACAAACATTTCCTTCGCAACTCCTACGCTCTGCTCCCTTGATACATTATTAATTACTGTTACTGAAATTTTATACCCTGCCTAGTTTGAGGGGGGCTTGTGGGTTTAATTTTATAGTCAACACCACTAAGACAAGTGTTTACATACATATGTAAGAGGAGATTTTGATGAGCTGAAATTTCCTCAGCTCGCACACAACATTACCATTAACTGCGTGTTGTCGAATTGATTGAAGATTTCCAATAAATCAATAAGTCCTTTTCAAATTCCTGAAGTTCTTGTAATTTCAAATTAAAATTAATAATATTTTACTATATGACAACCTGTTCTTATTGGTCTGGACTTTTTTTTATTTACAGGTAAATAGCAATATCAATATAATATAGTCGTAAATTTATGAAAATTTCAGTATTTTTAGTAAATTTTATGTAGATTTAGAATATATACAATATACACCTTTAAAAGTTTAAATATCTTGGTTTTGTGAGAAAATTAATTTTTTGGTCCCTTGTTTTGAGCTATTTTTGATGATATTTAAAACGTCTCCAACATCCATTATTGTTCGTTTACGACTATATTGACCTATATTTTGTTATTCTACGCCTTTTAATTAGGAAATAACGGCAGTTTTAACGAAATCGTTGACATGACGAAAATCCTCAATTTTCACGATTATCTGTATGGGAAAAAGTCGAAAAAATGTCCATTTTTGGTTATTTTTTACTCATTTTCAAAGGTCTTTGAAAAAGAGTAATCAAAGGCATAAAATTATGAAAATTTCAGCATTTGTAGGAAATTTTATGTAGATTCAGAATGCATACACTATTAGAAGCTTGGATATCTTGGTTCTGAGATAAAAATTTTTTTTTGGACCCTTGCTTGAAACGTCTCCCACGTATATTACTGTTCTCGTAAGCTTTTTAATTAATAAATAAGAGCAGTTTTTATAAATTCGGAGACACGGCGAAAATGACCAATTTTCCCGACTATATGTATGGGTAAAAGCCGAAAAATTAAAATTTTTGGCTAATTTTGAAAGGCCTTAGAGACATAGTAAACATAGTTATAAATTTATGAAAATTTTAGCGTTTGTAGGAAAAAGTAAATGTTTTTTCTTTCTTTAAAAACAATTAAAAACATGGAAAATGTTTCGTCGCCTAAATTATAAAAGCCGGTATAATAATATTTTATGAGCGAATAACGTGGAAAATCGAGTTTTAAACGACCCAATCAATTATTAGCGAGCTGAATGAATATTTTAAGATGGAAAATTTGTTTTAAAGTGCTAACGGTTAATTTTAAATTTTCGCAAATCGAATCATCCTACGCATGTAATGTACGTTCTTTTTCTCATTATAATTTAATTTGGTTATAGAAATATGTATATAATACTCATATAAGCTCATCAATATATGCTCAGTCAGGGGGTACTTAAGAGTCAATTTCACTAGTCCGAAAAAGTAGCAAAATAAACGTTCGGCATTTAACGTTTTATGGAAAACTGGAAGGAAACTAAAGATAAAGGATTATACTATATCCGTATTGAAGCACATTTTTAGACGACTTCTTTATTGTTAAGATTTTGATGGTCAAACATCAACAAAATATTCCTTATGTTTGGACTAAATTTTCTCAAAAATAAAGACACAATTTTAAAATTCCGTTACAATACGGAAATAGATTGAAGTTTTGTGATTACGGTGATATATAATTTATATGGTTTTGTGACAAATTGCTCGCTATTTTATGGCAAATGCTGAAGCTCTGCAAACCTTAATCAAGCCTTAATCAAAGCACGGGTGTTTGGAACTTTGGATGTGGCTTAATACGACAGGATTGGGCTAACCCATATAACACACAATATCCGCAGGATATTCATAGAATGTCGGAATGTCCCATTATAAGATCATCTTATACAGACATCTATAGGATATCCTCCAGACATCCTGAAATCCTGTAGATGTCTCAGAATAGAATATCCTATGGATATCTTTGTCGTATATCTAATGTACATCCAGCTGAGATATCCAAACATGCTCATGATAATAAAATATCCTAACAATATCGTCTAGATATTTAGGAAAAATAAATAATGTACTACCTACTTTTTATATTACATAAAATGCAATAAACCATACAGATAGATATAATATTACGTCAAGGCAACAAAATATCCTGTTGGTATCTTCTGGATAATCTGGATATTTATGAGCTTGGCCACTCCCAGTAATACCGAGAATTTAAAACGCCCGCGCAAAAAATTTCCCACAATCCATCTCGACAGTTGTTTGTGAAATTAGTGAAATTCGAGGTGAATTCGGTCGTTTGTCGATGTTGAATGGGCTTAAAAATGACTGAAACTAACAAAACTGGTTGAGTTTGACTTAGTTTTTTCTTATACTCATAGTTCTAGCCTTGTTCTAGCAGAAATTCTCTCCTAACCTCAACTAATGTCGAAAAACGACGAACGACTCAGGGTCTGAATGAAATTTTGTTGGTGAAAATTTGTTGAAAAGCGCTTGTTCTTTATCCCTAAACGCATTTTCGTGTTTGATCTATTCAAACGGAAATCCTATTTTTGTGTTTAAATTTTGAGTTTCTGGAATGTGTGGTGTTAGAAATTATATAAACTAAGGATGAAGTAAGTATTGTCAAGTAACAGTCCTCATATAATGTCCTAAAAATATTCTATAATGCTCCCAACATCATCCTTGTATTATCCTAGAAATATCCCAAATAATCGTAAAAGGCTTGCCTAGGGATGTCTTGAAGATGGCTTTTTTTGTCCCATCTGGATATCCCATAAATATCCTCCTCTGGTTTTTGGTGGGAAATTCCTAAGATATTTACTATATCCTTGGTATATAGGATTGTGTTGTGTTATATGGGAAGCTTTAGGCAGATTTCTGAAATATAATATATATTTCCTTTGGCCTCACACCCGGTTTACCCGAGCGTAATAGACTCTTAAGTTGGTGCTTAAAAGCTCAAAGGCATCGTCGACTGATTTTTTCTGTGACCGAGAAGCCTGATAGTTGATTCAAGAATCTCGTTACTTTGTTGCCTCTTTACTTTTTGGTTGTCGTTGTTAAATGAGATTACAATTCTTCTTCATTGCGTTCTATAGTGCGCTGCTTACGGATTCTGTATGTTTATCCCCTTTAAGTTTTCATGGAAATATCCTAGTACCTTTTGAGTTGTCCACCCGGTTTCCTCTTACCGTTCACAAGCTCACTGGCGGTTTTTTTACATCCTGCATACGTAACCAACCCATCTTAAGCGGGATTTAGTAATCATGACTTCAGCCCTCTCGCAGCTAGCTTTTTTCAAGGACCGATACGTTTGAGACATTGTGGTACCATTTGATTCTTAACAGTTGTCTAAAGGAGGGTCCACATTTAATAACATGTTATATAACATTGCTATTTAACAAGCTACATATCACATGTTAAAAAACCGGGAGCCGTCCACATTATAGTTTTCGTAATCATGAATCGTTTTGGTGAGAAAGAGGTTCAGCTCGCAGCAGCGGCGTGTGTAATTATTTTTGAACAATGAGAAAGAAAGTCGAGAAAAAAAAGCGGTTTTGAGTCCGCCATAACCTACCAGCAAGATCTAGATATAGTTGAACTCAAATAGCTTATCTTTTCAATACTTGCCTCGGCTGTTTCTCATGGTGTGTTTCTGTCTTTTAAAAACATTAATAACTTAAAAGCAAACCATTTTGAATTATCCCCTTCACCTAAGCCAGTACCTGATTTGCATTTCTTTTGTTCCCTCTGGAACAGACCTATTAGATAACGCATTTTTTTCTCAACTTTTTCTCTTTCCAAATACATACTATGAAATGAAGGTCGCTGTCATTTTATATGGAAAATTATATGGGGAATGTCATCGATTGTCATGTCCAAGCAAACTGGACGGGAGGCCGACTGGACGCAGTTTTTTTTTCGATCATACGGTATTATTGACCCGTAAATAAACAAACCAATATCAGCTCACCACACTTCAAGATTCGCAACCAAACCACACTCACAAGATTCTGGCGCGCACGTCCCTGAAAATATGAGCGGCTAAACTAGAAATTTAGCAAGTGTGGACGCGTTGTTTCATGTTACAATAGCAGTGTTGCACAACATCTTTTGATCTTTACCGACTACAAATGGATAACATCTAGCAAGTTATACAGCATCGAAATTTGCTAAATATGACTAAAAAATATGTAACATGTTATATAACTTTGCTATATAGCAGGTTTATATAGCAAGTGTGGACCGTCCTTAAAGCGGCCCATACATTATCAAACAAATTGCGCAACGCAGGCTGTTGCGCAACGAGTTGCCAATGTATGATAGTGTTTGATGCGTTGCGCAAATTGTTTGATGAGTTTCAAGAATATTTGAATTCTTTTGTGCAACAGGACTGTTTGCGCAACGCGTTTTGTAGTGTATGTGTGTATGCGCTTTGGTGTGCAATATTTTAGTTCTTTCATCCAAATTCTTTGTTTTCTTTTTTGTTTTTTGGTATCATCGACATCATCTAGGGTATATAGGATAATAATTGACGCAATGGCAATTGAGGACATGATTGTTTCTCAAACAATGCACAACTTTTAATAAAAAGTTTGATCAAAATTTTACTAAGTGCATGGGTGAGGCAGTTGTGCAACGGAACGTTGCGCATCGCTTTGTTGCGCAACTTGTTTGATAGTGTATGGACCGCTGAATCAGTTGTGCAACGCAACGTTGCGCATCGCTTCGTTGCGCAATTTGTTTGATAATGTATGGGCCGCTTAAGGTATCTCTGTACGGCATCCAGGTTTCGCTTCCATACACTGCAAGTTTCGTTTTTGTGCTCAAGTCATGTCTGTAGAAAACCCTGTCCTTTAATTTCCAGAATGCTCTAGAGGCGCTGCTAATTCTGTGCTGAATTTCAGAGTCGATATTTTCCGGAATCAAACTGCCGAGCTAATTAAATTCCGCTACATATTCCAATAGTTCTTCTCCGATTTTTATAGCTTTGTTGTGATTTTCCGGGGGAGTGCACATTATTTTAGGTTTATCGATGTTCAGCTTAAGGTCCAAAGCCTCGCATGCCTAGGTATATGTATTCAGCATTTCTTGTAATTGCTGTAACGTTTTTGCAACTAGAGCGCAGACATCAGCGTATTGAGCGTATTGAGTCTTTTTATATTGAACAGACCGCCGTCGTATCTGTATCTAATGCCCATTTCTCTTTCCTTCAGTTTCCTGTCAACTATAATAGAAAGCGCAGACAAGGGAACAAACACAGGAGAACATACCCCTGAATATTGAGAAAAAGAGAACTATTATCAGTTTTCTAGATAGTCTTCCGTTCTAAGTGACAGGCAAATCGTACGGTAAGACTTTATGTGTAGATGCGACTTTACACAATAGCATTATTGGTGAAAAAATTATGATTTTGATTTAAAACCGATTTAAATCCTCCGGAAAAAATATAATCCATTTTTCGGGGGTCAAAAACCGTTAAGACATAATCTTCCCTGGTTAATTAAAAATTATTTGTCAATGTATTTAAATTCGATGGGACAGCGCGTGTAAAACCTATTACGGTGAACTTGTAATTGGAAAGTTTATAAATCCCGATATAATAAAAGGGTTATGGCAAGGGTTATAACAACGTAATCAAATTTTCCAACTCCACACTTGTCTTTAATCGAAAACACGTAATTGTCATCTGGGTGTTATTGTCTATCGAGCTGCAATTTGCTAGACCAGGTTATTTAATTGCATAGTTTAAATTTTAGCTTTGGCCTCGAATTATCCATTTAAAATTATTAAAATAAAGATTCCCTATTATATAATCAAAAATCAGACGCTATTTTAATCAAATTATACATATTTCGTTTCTAGAAATATATAAAAAAATAGTGTGTGAGGGTAAGAGAAAATATTTTATGATGTTTTTTAAAGCCCTTAAAGTAGAAAAAGGTGAAAATTCGGTGACGTTATTTTTCCCACGTATGAATATTGATTTCCCTTCTTTTATTTGACGACTAAAAACATTTCCTAACAAAATTTTCTCGCCAAATACTCTGCATATTCTATTTAATAGCGCTCAAGAAAAACTAACGTGGCTTTGCAAAGTAACCAAACTCTTTAAGTATATACAGGGTGGTCCGAACTGTATTCCGGAAACTTCGTCAGCATATTCTGCAGATAAAAATAGGTAAAAGAGTCCTTATAAATGTATGCCCCAAAATGCTTAGGTTCGGAGATACAGGGTGTAAAAGTTTCATATTAATCTCGATTTTTTCTAAATAATTTATGAATTAACGTCAATTTTTGGATGAAAATTGGTGGTAAGGAATTTTTTGACATGAGAAATATGATTTTGATGTCAATATGACTCCTACTTGTAGAGGGCGCCACCTACATATTTTTAACTGGTTAAAAGAGTAATAACTTTTCGTCTGTATCTATATAAAATTAGTGAGTAAAAAAATATAAATTTACGACATTTTTCACATAAAAAAGATCTCTTGGTAAAAATCGCTACAAGGAATGGTTCTCGAGATATTTAGAATCAAAATTATCAAGACCTATCATCATTGACATAAATTAAACATGTTGACTAACAGTTATTAAACTAAAATCATAAAATTGAAATGTTTTTGTGCCAAAAGTTCAAAAGAAACTGTTTTATCATCATTTTTTCATTAATCATTTTATGATTAATTTAAAAAAATAAACATTTTCCAAACTTATTATTTCAGTCAAATAACTATCTATTCAACGTGTTTATTTTTTTGTCAATAACAACATGTATTGATTATTTCCGTTCCAAATATCTTGAGAACGGTTGTTCGTAGCGATTTTTACCAAGAGACATTTTTTACGTAAAAAGTCACGGAAATGTACATTTTTTACCCAGTAGTTTTATACAGGTATACGAAAAGTTATTACTCTTCAAAACAGTTAAAACACATGTAGGTGGCGCCCCCTACAAATAGGAGTTATATTGACATCAAAATCAAATTTTTCATGTCAACAAACCTCCCGATACTAATTTTCATCCAACTATTGAGGTTATTTCAGAAATTATTTGGAAAAAATCGAAATAAAAATGAAACTTCTACACCCTGTATCTCCGAAACTGAGTATTTTATGACATACATTTATACGAACTTTTTTTACTTTTCTTTTATCTGCAGAATATGCTGCCGAAGTTTCCGGAATACAGATCGGACCACCCTGTATAAAAAAAACATGATTTTTATTTCAGTTAAAATGCTTGGACTTTTAACTGTGTTACCCTGTTATTTACAAGAATTAGCATAAATTAATTTAATTAGTGTCTTTGGCTTTTTCTTTCTTCTTTTGTGTTAGTCCCAACCACCTTTTATGTAAGTAGATAATCCTATTCACCCCAACTTTTCTGTTCCTATTCCTGAAAAAAGTGACCCTTTCAGAGATCCGAGACCTACTTTCTCTATACTAAGTGGGAGAAGTTTCCATGTTAACATAACATTCTTTTATCATTTCATATTGATTATTTTCGGGTTCGCACTATGAATATATTTTACTAATTTAAAGTCAAGAATAACTTTGGTCAGGTCAAAATTGCATGTTTCAAGTAATATAAACTTTATACGCAGCATTATTATACGGAAAGTTTTAGTTAAATGGACAAATTAATGGAAAACAAATGTTCTATTTGAATTTTGGCTAGGGAATAGCAGCTTGGTGTCAACTCTACCTTTTTTTTTTCATCTTTTGAGAGTATTTCCAGTTTGATTTTATAGAGGATTTCAAAAATGGCTTGATTTGAACTTACCAAAGTGCAATTCCGTGGAGCTATTTCCTGGCACGAGGCTGTTCTCTTCTGTTAAGTTGTTTTTGGAAGCGTCGTTAAAACTGGGCCCAGGAGGTGAGGCTGCAGACTCTCGAATATATTCATTTTCGGAGTCGTAAGTGTCGAATTCATCGCTGTCCTTCTGGCTATGGCCCACCTCGTCCGGTTCCAGTGGTCCTTCATATTGGTCTTTGAGCACACGCCTCGGCACTGAAAAAAATCAGGGCTATTGATTACAAAGAGCGCTTCGAATATTCTTTTACTTCTGTTTAGGGTCCGTGAAGATTTATTTCGCCAGATTCTCTGTAATATTAGAACGGGGAGACGGTGGAATTAAGCGATTTTTGCCAAATTGCGCTTTATATCGGAGAACGACCGATATATGTGCCGACGTAAACATTTATGTTTTTTTTTCATGTGTTTCCTGAATAAGGTTCATCCCTTAAAGACAATTTGGCAAATTTTTAACAAATACTGAAATTTCTATGCGAGCTTTCATTTTTTTATTGGGGTCGATAGGTTTCTGGCAGTATATCCTTTACCGAATAAGTTTTTTCTGTTTTCTTTGTCATCGAATTTGTTTTCCAATTACTGGAGATCCTTAAGACGCGAAGTTCGAATGGACAAATCGTTCGAGCTACACAAGGCGTAAACTTTCATAAAATTAAACGCAACTTTCTGAAATATGAGAGATTTATTGCGCGCTGTTAAGACATCGGGTTGTTTCAAGAGCTCTCCGGTCTAGACAGATAAAGAACTTTCTTAAATAAGTTTATAAAAGTAAAAAAAAATGTGTCAACGCCCTGTCAGTTTGTTTAATTAGACAACGATCGCAAATGACAAACAAAAACGAGTTTTAATTAAAATGTAACAAACGCCAGTTTAACACTGAAAAAAATATTGTTCATAATATTAATGAACATTGATTATTAACTGTTGTTTCATTGGGACAATAATTTTTTTCATTAATATAATGATTTGTTAATCATAGATCGATGTCCGATTTATTAATACTATGAATCTAATTTCATCAATATAATGAAAATCTGGTTATTAAAGTAATGTAAGATTTTCATTAATATAATGAACGCGTTCATTGTCCCAATGAACGTTAATCCATTTTATGGAAGAAAAATGGTACATTTAATACAAAACAAAAATGGAACAATTTTAAGGCTACTTCTCTTGAACTTACGATCGAGATACTTTTGGAAAATACAAAGTTTTGCCTTCCTAATTTTCGTTCTAAAAAGATATAATTGGTATCATTGAATAAATATTTCTTAAAAAGAACGAAAAGTTAGGCATCAAAACTTGTATTATTTCCTAAATTCGTTCATAAGAAGAAGTTTTATCTAGCACAAGATGTAGATATATACGAAGCAAAATACATACGTATACACGCGGTAGTCACAACTGCAATGTATAAACATAGTTTAAACGTAATACACAAGTACTGTGTATCCTACGGCACACTGTGTATCCCTTACTTTGTATATACGTAAATGCTATACTGTGGCTATATTGTGAGGCGGACGTTTAACCTTTGTGCATACGTGTTGAACTACAATGTGTAAACGTAGCATATTTACATCGGGGTAATTGTGTCACCCTGTGTCTACATCTAATAATGTAAACACATCGTAAATGTGATTTGATGTGCTGTATGGGTTATTGGTCTTCAAACCAGTTAAAGAATATGTAGGTGGCGCCCTCTACAAGTAGTAGTCATATTGATATTAAAATCAAATTTCTCATGTCAAAAAACTTCCAAAACCAATTTTCATCCAAATATGGACGTTACTTCATAAATTATTTGGAAAATATCGAAATAAAAATGAAACTTCTACACCCTGTATCTCCGAAACTAAGCATTTTAGGATATACATTTATACAAAGTTTTTTACTTATTTTTATTTGTAGAATATGCTGCCAAAGTTTCCGGAATACAGTTTGGACCACCATGTATTTATTTGATTAGGGTTGTTAATATTTATCGCAGTTAGGGGAGCAGAGTTTACTTTATGCATATTAAAGATAAAGAAATCTATCGATTTTGAATTTGCCAGAACTAGATACCTTATCCACTTACTTATTGCAAATTCATTGGCATGCCGTGGTGTTTCGAAATAGGGAATTGCTATATTACCATCGAGTGTGATGGATTCGTTCGATTTTGCTCAGTTGGAGATTACTAGGACTTGATAGATTTTAGAAAAAAGCTGGAATTTGGCGGAAACGGCGAATTTTTCAACTGCTTTAAGCGGGACGCGCTCAAATATTTACACAAAAACAAAAAACCACCCCTTAATAGAGGTGGGAATTCTAGTTCCTTGGGAGGAACTAGTTCCTTAGTTCTAGTTCCTCCAGAGGAATAGTTCCTTGAACTAGGTCTTTAGTTCACAATAGTTCCCGACTAACATTGACATCCCCCTTGCTTGCTAATGCGTTTCGTTGTCAGTCAAAACTATTCACAGTATGATCTGTATAATTTTTATAATGTACGGAGATATAACGAGACGTGTAATTGTGTATGTTAAAAACATATAGGTAAGTTTTATAGCAGATAAAAGAAAATAAAAAAAAACTCAAATAAGAATTTAAAAAACTATATCACAAATCAATTGGAGCAAATTTTACAAAAAATTGCGTTTTTCCTCACATCTTTTTTCCTCAAGCTTTTTGTTTTTGTCTAAAAATTCAGAATATCTACTTCGTTTTATAAGATATTTCTTAATTTTAGGGACCTAAAGTGAACCATTCCCATAAAATATTTAAAAAACAAACTAAAAATCAAAAACAGTATCCACGACAATTTTCTGTGGTAATTACGACGCGCCGGCTGCGGCTGTGGCAATAGACAAGGCCGAATCCATCGTCGTCGCCTTGTATTATATCTCGGATCTGCCGACTGATAGATTCCCGTGAACTAGTCTTTTAATAGTTCCTCTATGTCCGGATCCGATAACATACAGCTGGCACTCCCCACGCCTGCCTAGCATCAACCGCGCTGGCTGATCCATAGGTAAACTAGTCTTTTATTTAGTTCCTCGAGTTCCTTTAGGTCCGGATCCGATAACATACGGCATACGGCTGGCACTCCCCACTCCTGCCTACCATCGAGCTACGCGCGCTAGCCGATCCGTCGCCGTCGCATATTATTCTATATCGGTCACAGTCTCGATTCCGGAACAGGTCCTGAGGAACTAGTTCTTTGGGAAACCAGGAACTAGTTCCTTTCATTCCGGGATAGTTCCTTTCATTCCTCGGAATAGTTCATTGGAACTAGTTCGTTCACGAACTACACACCTCTACCCGCCCCTTAATGAGGCTGGATCATTTTGCCAACAGTTTTTTATGCTTTATTTCCTTGAAAGATGATAAAAATGACTTAATTACAAAAGTATTGGCAAAAGTATAGTTATTAATTAAACTAAGTTTGGCTAATTAATATTTTTGTTTTCGAGACCGCTTTAAATGCCAGTGTGAGCCGAATGTTTCTCAAGCAATTATAAACAATGGTTTTAATACTAGTTACATCTGTAACCCAATAATAGCTGAAAGGAATATTCGTTCAGATAACGATATTTGAGTACGAATTTATATCGTATCAGGAACTATAGGTTCCCCATTGTTTTCGAATATCGATTTTTGTATTCGAATTCTCCTTCACCGACCGCACTAAGTTTAGTTACATATTAACTATAAAGTTCTGCCTATCGATTTCACTCATTGTAACGTATCAATTAAAATTTAATTAACCTTGCTATATGCTTAGTTTATTGGTGATGTATACTGTATCATGTTTTTATTTTATACCTATAAGTATTATTATATAGTTGTTAAAATAATAAAAACACATTTATTTTTATTAAATCGTTGGAAAAACCAGGAAAGCAAATCAAGCTAACAACAAATGTTGCTGGGAATGATAAAATAATAATTTCTGGGTATTGTTATTCAACAACGATAAATATTGAATTTTACTACAATCTTAACTTGCGTATTATACTGGTATATGTTTTTTTTTTCAATGGCGTACATGAAATATTTACGTATACAAACGTTAAAATGACGCAATTTATGTGTAGAATATCTATTTTGAATTTCAATTTTTGCGAAAAATGGATCATATTTTGAATAAATCAGGTCAAACTATTGGGGAAGTTTGATATTCGAATGGGGTTTCGCGATTTTGTTCGGATAAATAAGTGTACGGAATAAGAAACATATTTAGACTTACCGCAAGTATACACTACTTTCAAATACATCCTAGATTGAGGTTTACAGGGACTGCCGAAAGTGCTGATGTCGGCTGCCAGTTCGCAAGTCCTCTTTCCATGGCAAAGATTCATAACAGTCTCAGTGGCATAACTTGCAAGACAAGCTGAAATTAAATTAATCTGTCTTTTGTCGCCTTTTTTTCTTAATTTGAAACAATATTTTTTAGGAATAAAGACTTTTTTCGTGTTCTTTCACCAGTCACTCACGCCAAACCCTCATTAAACCTCCCTTGACAATCTTTAATCGATTTAAAGAAGAACACGGGATTCTTCTCTCAATACTCTACTTGATTACATTACATTATTGCTAAGAAAATTTGTTTATTCACTGGCTATACTAAAAATAGAATTTTAATTCGAATATTTATTTAAAAAAAGCAACGCTATAACAGACAAAAATTTATTTGATATTTTTTCGTATAAAACGAAACTTTTAAAAATTTAATAGATGAAATACAAATATGAAACAAGTTTTAATTGAAAGGTTAAATCAATTTTGTTTACCCACCAAGCAATATCGACTGCAATACTAACTAGAGCTAGGTATGAGAATTAAAAAATATGTAATATCAACCAAAGTAATCAATCTTTTAGACAGAACCTTGATGGTTTTGAGAGAGGTCCTGAAAGAGACCTCTTACAGGCTAGATAGTATGAATTATTTTATTAGCCGCTCTAAGAAAAATATTAATAGAGCTCAAAAACGCCTGAAAATTACAGAAATTTTATATATTTTCAGAAACTGTTCATCACTGAGATATAATGTTGATAGTTTTAAGACAGGGACCGGGAGAGGTTTTCAACAGGCCAGAAAGTACGAATTTTTCTATTAATACAGGTCAGAAAAACCTGAAAATTACAGAAATTAGTATAAAATTTTATATATTTTTAGAAATTATCCCTTTATGAGCTAGATTATTGATAGTTTTAAGAGAGTATACTGAGAAGAAAGAAAGTACATTGTTCATAAAAGTTTGGTGTGATTACAACATCGTTAAAAGCGACTTAAGACCCTAAAATATTAAGCAAAGTCCTATAAGTTTAAAAAATGCTACGATTGCGTCCTTAAGTACGGCGTAATGATAACGAGATTCCTTATCAGTGAAACGATCGTCTTGAAAATGTTCTTGCTGGAACATAATCAGGGTTTAAGGATAATGCAAGTCAGCAAGTAAAAACTTCCCAAATTACTATAACAAAAACTAATACTATTCGTATTTTTGACCACTAGAAAGGAGATTACCTTCAAATCAATTTTTAAACACACACGCTTAAATTTGAACTGTTCAGAGAACGAAATATTCTATCCACATCATACAGAAAAATGAAAATGCATAAATAAGGAAACTTTTTTCAGCAATTTTATTTTAAAACTTTTAATTGAGTCAGTTAATTCAAAACTTTAATTACACTTTAATTATTTTATACTTTAGTGGAATTTCCTGTTTTTTTTCAGCTGCTAAATAAAGAAATAGTATTTTTTTTAATTTAGTTTGAAATATTATAAATAGGAATAGTGTATGTTATTAATTTTCGGATACAAATGAAAACAGACAGTTTGAGAATGTAGGGAGAACTGCACGAAAATTAAATTTACTGGGACTTCGCACATCACTATCATGTTCTAACATAAGCAAAGACGAGATAAAATCTAGATATTCTCCATGTATCACAAATGATTAACTTAACTATGAAGATATCTTTGTTTCCGTCTAGAATATCTAGTTCCACATCCTTTTACGACAGTGAGACAATGCACCACTGATACAGTTTATATTAATCTTGCCGTTATTATTAGTAATTTGGGTAAGGAAGGAACTTTTGCTAAAGTTCCCTCCAAAATTATTTATATAATAATCCCTATACGTACCCAGGACCGGGTCTTCTTCTAATTTAATTTTCTTTAATGATAAATAAAATGCCTTTTCAATGAGTCAAAGTTTACCAAACTTTGTAAAAACGACTAGAAAACACAGAAAAAAGAAATTTGCCTGTTCTAAGTAAAAAAGAGTGGGTCACGGACCCCAATTTTTCAGCAGTTCTTAACTTCAACAGAAAGTTGCCCAGCAAACAAAAAAGTTTGACATTTCAGGGCAAAAAGCTCACCGTCGACAAAATAATATAAATAAGCATGTGTAAACACAGCATTTTATTAAAAATGGCAATGAATACGAGTTAGAGTCCTGAGGGAGACCCAAAAAAATCCTTTACACCTACTAACCGACACGAATTTCCATTTGCGGCAAACGTTATTAAAAAAAACTTTTCTGCAGTTAAGTTCGGTAATATGACTTTAAAATCGTTGCTGTTGAAAAAGTTTGCAGCCGTGGAAATCGTCCAAAATAAAATATTCCAAAGTTTATTTTGTCTTCGCCTGGAGCGCATTGCAAAAATAGTTTTTACTTCAAAGCAAATGGTTCTTTTCTGTCGGGGGTGTTTTCTTGAATAATTTACAAGTTTTAACAAGCCAGATTTCGACTGGCACAGTCGAAATCTTTCAAATCCTCACTGACTATTGCAGAGCAAACATAAACAAGCCTCCTACGTAAGCTTTACGTCTTACAACTTATTACGAACTTATGCCTTTTGCAAAGAAATATAATATACGTAGTTTAATTTATAGTTACTTGTTCTCTCAAATTTTTCACATCATTAAAATGTATAAAAATAGTACCAAAGTGTTAAAAATCAATATTAAAATTATATGTTCTTGTAATGGATGTAATATATTATAATATATAGTATCCAAAAATAACAACCCTGCGGATTAAGGAGAGCAAGTTTAAATTCAGTCGATCTAAAAAGGAAAATAATTTATGTTTTAAGGTCATGAACCTTCTAGCACCCATCGAATATCTCCGGTCCATTAGATTAAGGTTCACTGAGAAGGGTTAAGTACACAATATTTGATAAGTTGGATCCCATTAGATATTCTATCACAAATGGTTAGATATAAATTTGACAGCTTGAAAAACTATTTGGTAATTCATATTCCGAGTGTTCAAAAAGTCTTTATTGCTATTTTTGGTAGTATTAAAGGTGCGTTTGAAATAAATCCACCTGTTTATTTCTTGTCCAACATTGATTAAGTACTTAAAACAATATTAATAATGATCAGAACAATCTGAAAATTACAGAAGTTATATAAAATTTAATACGTTTTCAGAAACTGACCATTTCTGAGCTAAAATGTTAATAGTTTTAATACAGATTCTGGGAGAGACCTCTAACCTCTGACAGACCAGAAAATACGAGTTTTTTATTAGCATCTCTAGCCATAGAAATATACTAATAGAACTCAGAAAATGTATAAAATTTTATATATTTTCAGAAACTGTTCATCTCTGAGCTAGAATGTTGATAGTTTTAGGACAGGTCCAGGGAGAGTTCTCTGACAGGCCAAAAAAAACTAATTTTTCTATTAAGAGCTCAAGAAAAATATTAATAGAGCTCAGAAAATTCTGAAAATTACAGAGAACGGATAAAAATTTCTATATTTTCAGAAACTGTTCATTTCTGGACTAGAATGTTGATAGTTTTAAGACAAGTCCAGGGAGAGGCCACTAACAGGCCAGAAACTATTATATTTTTAAATTACAGCTCCAAAAAAATATTAATAAAGCTCAGAAAATTATGAAAATTACAGAAATTGTGTAAAATTTTATATATTTTCAGAAACTGTTCATCTCTGAGCTTCAACGTTGATAGCTTTAGGACAGGTTCAAGGAGAGACCACTCAGAGGCCAGAAAGTACGAATTTTTCTATTAGCAGCTCTAAGAAAAATATTAATAGAGCCCAGAAAATTCTGAAAATTACCGAAATTGTATAAAATTTTATATATTTTTAGAAACTGTTCATTTCTGGGCTAGAATGTTGATAGTTTTAGGACAGGTCCAGGGAGAGTCTACTAACAGGCCAGAAAGTACGAATTTTTCTATTAGCAGCTCTAAGAAAAATATTAATAAAGCTCAGAAAATTCTGAAAATTTCAGAAAATGTATAAAATTTTATATATTTTCAGAAATTGTTCATCTCTGAGCTAGAATGTTGATAGCTTTAGGACAGGTTCAAGGAGAGACCACTGACAGGCCAGAAAGTACGAATTTTTCTATTAGCAGCTCTAAGAAAAATATTAATAGAGCTCAGAAAATTCTGAAAACTACCGAAATTGTATAAAATTTTATATATTTTTAGAAACTGTTCATTTCTGGGCTAGAATGTTGATAGTTTTAGAACAGGTCCAGGGAGAGTCTACTAACAGGCCAAAAAGTACGAATTTTTCTATTAGCAGCTCTAAGAAAAATATTAATAAAGCTTAGAAAATTCTGAAAATTACAGAAAATGTATAAAATTTTATATATTTTCAGAAACTGTTCATCTCTGAGCTAGAACGTGGATAGCTTTAGGACAGGTTCTAGGTTCAAGGAGAGACCACTGAGAGGCCAGAAAGTACAAATTTTTCTATTAGCAGCTCTAAGAAAAATATTAATAGAGCTCAGAAAATTCTGAAAATTACCGAAATTATATAGAATTTAATATATTTTTAAAAACTGTTCATTTCTGGGCTAGAATGTTGATAGTTTTAGGACAGGTCCAGGGAGAGCCTACTAACAGGCCAGAAAGTACGAATTTTTCTATTAGCAGCTCTAAGAAAAATATTAATAAAGCTCAGAAAATTCTGAAAATTTCAGAAAATGTATAAAATTTTATATATTTTCAGAAACTGTTCATCTCTGAGCTAGAATGTTGATAGCTTTAGGACAAGTTCAAGGAGAGACCAGTGACGGGCCAGAGAGTAGGAATTTTTCTATTTGCAGCTCTAAAAAAATATAATAATAGAGCTCAGAAAATGTTGAAAATTACAGAGAACGTACAAAATTTTATAGATTTTCAGAAAATGTTCATCTCTGAGCTAGAATGTTAATTGTTTTAAGACAGGTACCGGAAGAGACCTCTGACAGGCCAGAAAGTGTTATTTTCTATTAACAGTTCTAAGAAAAATGTTAATAGGGCTCAGAAAATTTTGAAAATACAAAATTGTATAAAATTTTGTATAATTTTAGAAAATGTTTACTTCTAAGCAAGAATGTTATTAGTTTGCATATAGGTTCCGGGATAGACAGTTTCACAGCTTGAAAAATTATTTAGTAATTCATATTTTGAGGGTGTTGTATGTGGTCAAAAAAGTGTTTATTGTTTTTTTTTATATATCTAAATGTGTGCTATAAATAAATCTACATACTCTCCTCCGGTACACCTTGTGGCTGAGGACACTGTATACTCTCATATTGAGTTCTTCCATAACTGGCACTGTATACAGCCACTCTGGAGTTGGGATTGCACTTGAGTGTGACCCGTTCATTTTCGCAGGCCACTTTGCTACGGAACTCATCTGAAAATTTACATTTAATGAGAATTTTTATCTGGAGATTGGTCGAAATTGAATTTATCGATTCCATTTTTTAAATCCAGTAATTGTTCGGCATTAAAAAAGGCATACGTTTTAATGAAATTCCTCTATGTTTTTATTAAATTTAAAACTTTCTTTCGCCCCATTGTTTTGCAGGATGAGAAAATCGATAACATCCTGGAGTGTGTCATAGAGTAGAGATATATAATAGATTCGATGCGAGATACGGTATATTATAAGACGTGACAAATGACACCTAACTGATAATAAATTTAACAATGAATGATTCCTCACGTAAGATAAAGGATATATACTGGCCTTATGCTGGTTAGTTTTATTTCAGTATAGAATTATCTAGAATCTATGAAAGGTAAATACACTCAAAGGCATGAAAAGCGGGCACCTTAAAATTTTTATGTATTTTAAGGTTTTATACAGGGAGGTCCGAACTGTATTCCGGAAACTTCGGCAGCATATTCTGCAGATAAAAATAAGTAAGAAAGTTCCTATAAATGTATCTTTTAAAATGTTTAGTTTCGGAGATATAGGGTGTAGAAGTTTCATTTTTATTTCGATTTTTTCCAAATAATTTCTGAAGTAACGTCAATATTTAAATGAAAATTGGTGTCTGGGAGTTTTTTGACATGAGAAATTTGATTTTCATGTCAATATGACTCGAAGAACTTTTTATTTTTTTTAAATGAATTATAAATGTTTCTTTGAAAAAATGATGATAAAAAAGTTTCTGTTGAACTTTAGACAAAAACATTTCAATTTTATGATTTCAGTTTAATAACTATTTAGTTAACATATGTTATGTTTAATTTACGTCAATGATGACAGGTATTGATAATTTCGATTCCAAATATCTCGAGAACCATTACTCGTAGCGATTTTTACTAAGAGATCTTTTTTACGTAAAAGGCGTCGTAAATGTATATTTTTTTATCCAGTAGTTTTATACAGGTACGGACGAAAATTTATTACTCTTCAAACAAGTTAAAAAATATGTAGGTGGCGCGCTCTACAAGTAGGAGTCATATTGACATCAAAATCAAATTTCTTATGTCAAAAAACTCCCAAATACCATTTTTCATCCAAATATTGACGTTACTTTAGAAATTATTTGTCAAAAATGAAAATAAAAATGAAACTTCTACACCCTGTATCTCCGAAATTAAGCATTTTCGGACATACATTTATACGAACTTTTTTACTTATTTTTATCTGCAGAATATGCTGCCGAAGTTTCCGGACCATTGCAAGCTGCCGATATTCGACAGCTTGCAAAAACTGGCAGAAAATATTTGCGAGAGTGCAACTACTCTTTTCCTTAAACTATGGTTTTACTTTGATAATATGTACTCACACTGGGTTAGAGAACGTTTAGTTTCAAAATATATTAAACTTTAAAATGCATAAAAAATTTAAGGTGCCCGTTTTTCGTGCCGGTGAGTGTAGATGTGGTAATTTACTTTGCAGAATTTACTTAACAGAATCTGCATTTAATATTCTTTCAGACCTGAAATAAATCAAGAAATCGATCGTTACGACTGATTGACAAGGCCATTAAGAACTAACTGCAATTGGTTTGAATAAATTTAGCGATCCTGTGTAAGACTTAGGTTCTCCCATCGAATTACATTACCAGAATAAGGAATTTTAAGTCACGGACCAATTTCTCCCCAGGATTTAGGTTCAGTTTCCACAGTTAGTGTATGTCTGTTTAATTCCTTTATCCTACCAGAAGATAGAGCAACGGATTTTCTACCATAAACAGTATTTTAATAGTAACCAGAAAATGTAATGTCCCTAAAATTAATTGAAAATGTTAACTAAACATCGGAAAGCCTACGTGAAAATTTGACTGCCATGCCGCTCTGATATTTTAAATATAACTAATCAAATGTTTGGCTTGCTGGTATAAAAGTGATAAAACGGCAAAGGAAAAGCTAGTTTTCATGGAAATCGAGACTCTATTAAAATTTAATTTCGAACAGGGCATAAAAAACGGCAAAGCTCCGAAATGAAGTATATTGGAATGGTTATTAAAAAATTCCGCAGATGTTGTGCAGGTTCAAACGGCTTATGTTTTAAACAGATGCCTTCATTTCGGCCTAGGGATGTAGTTTTCTAGAATCAAAATATCGATTTACTCTACCTATTAGTCTATCGAGAATATCGATATCGCTAATTTATAATATTTTACTCATCAAATACACAATATACCGGGTGTTCCTTAACGACATGCTAATATTTAAGGTGGTGATTCTTGGACCTATTCTAAGAAAAACAACCTTTATATGAAGATATGTCATCTGAACATCTTACCTTTTTAGATACAGGGTGGTAAAATGTTCTAATATTTTTTTCAAAATATCTCTGATGTTATATTCGATACGCGTCTTCCATGCATCAAAATGCTTATTTTGATATACCAAAAAAAATTGTTTTATTTCTTAATTTTCTTCATCAGATTTTCAGCGATTTGACCCTGAAGTAAACTGACTTTATTTTTTTAAGCAAAAACTCAGGAGATAAAAACTATTTAGAAATTAATGGAAATATTGAAAAAGAAGTCAGTGGTGTACCATCAGTTTTTCCTCCAAAAATATTCAATGTAAAACCCGTATGGACGGCACTGGTTGAAATAAATAATTTTCTTTGTACACCAAAAAAGGTATTTTGATACATAAAAGACGTATATCAAGTTTCATAAAGAGATCTATAATAAAATCAGAGTTATTATCAAAAAAAAAATTTTAAAAAAATTTACCATATACCTGTATCTCAGAAATTAAGATGTTTAGGACATACATGCATATGAAGTTTTTCCCTTAGAATATTCCCCTTAAATACTAGCATGTCATTAAGGAACACCCTATACAGGGTGGTCCAAATTTACTCGGGAAACCACGGCAGCATATTCAGCAGATAAAAATAAGTAAAAAACTTCGTATAAATGTGCGTCCTAAAATGCTTCGTTTCGGAGATACAGGGTGTAGAAGTTTTATTTTTATTTCGGTTTTTTCCAAATAATGTCTGATCTATAGTCGATATTTGGATAAAAATTGGAGTCTTTGTGTTTTTGACATGAGAAATTTGCTTTCGACGTCAATATGATTCCTACTTGTAGGGGGCGCCAGCTACATGTGTTTTAACTGTTTTGAAGAGTAATAACTTTTCATCCGTACCTGTATAAAACTAAATTTCTACATATAAAACTACATTTGTAAAAAATATGCATTTCCGACATTTTTTAGTGAAAACATCTTTTGTTAAAAATCGCTACGACCAAGCTGCAACCGTTCTCAAGATATTTAGAATGGAAATACAATGTAAGAGTCAAATTAACATCAAAATCAAATTTTTCATGTCAAAAAACTCTCAGACATGTTAGTTCAGAAAAAACCGTAATATGAATAAAACTTATACACCCTGTATCTCCGAAAATAAGCATTTTAGGACATACATTTATATGAACTTTTTTACTTATTTTTATCTGCAGAATATGCTGCCGAAGTTTCCGGAATACAATTCGGACCACCCTGTAGATGAATACGTTCCAATGCAAATACATTAGTCGACTTGAAAGGACGTCAATTTATTCATGCATAATTATGTTTTTTTTAATGAAATGAAAGCATGGGTGGTTAAAAGTAAACCTTTAGGCTATGACAACTAAAAAGGGTGTATATTACTTACAGGGTCTACATTTGTATGCGACCTCAACATATTTCGGTATGCCTGGACAAGGGTCTCCACCAAACGTTGTCGGAGATGTTTGGAACTTGCACTGTCTCTTTTTCTGGCATGCCTCGATAACGGTCTGTAATAGAGAATACTATACCGTCAGTTAGATCGGCTGAACTTTTTACTTTGCGATTTTTCATTGTTTCATTTGTCTGTGTGTTTTTTCGGTAATTTCGTAAAAATTTTGTTGCGGATGCTGAAAAAATGAAATCAATTAAAATGTTCGGAATTTTTTTTTTCATTTATGTCGAATCCATATTTTGGTGTTAGCGTTTATACATGAAACGTTTCAATATTACGAAATTTTGCTGTTATATTAAAATATAGAACTCAAATGTACAAATAAAAATACCCATACTTTTAGCAGGTTTAAAAATTTATTTATATATTTATAATAAAATACACATTATTTAAATTTATTGTGTTTTAATGTAGTTTTTCTCTTTCACTAGTTTATTAAGCGTAACAATAAACAATCTGTAAGACTTTTAATGACGATTTTGCTGTAAAAGGAACTAGACACAGGCTTATTTAAACCAATTCTAGGCATCGCTCGTTTAAAGTAATTTATTTGAGTTTTACAACCGTACAGAATGTGACTCCTGCATTAATAAACTCATCTCAACCTTGTATTTAATAGAAACGTTTATGAAAATCGAAAAAGACTACTTAATTGTACGTAATCTCGCTTGTTTTGGAATTTTCATAAGCAGCTTTTAACTTTAGTGTTTCAAAGATACTACTTTAAACTTTATAAGCAGTCATCTTTTCAAAAACAGTCTTGAAACTTTTCTTCAAAGATTATATTCGGGAATATAGAGACACGCTCTATAGAGTTTTGTTCTTATTTCCTAATTAAAAATCCACTTCGATCAAGTATTTACTGGTAACTCGATTGACTTTGGAATATAGAAGATAAGATAATACATTTTTCAGTAGCAAAATTGCCAGGAGAATAACTGTGTTACCTCAAAAATAAAGTAGTAGAAACTAAACAATATCCCTTTTGAGATTGATTGAATTGTAATTTCCTTTTCTTATTAGATGGTAAAGTTTCCTACTCTGAAAACATTACTGTAACCTCTTTATTTAGAAGGGAATTTAAATCAACTGTGCGATTAGTATTCAAGAAGAGAGATACTAAAGCTATATCTAAATGGTTTATTCCCGCATAGAGCTTGTCTATTGCCAATTTATTTTCTATTAAAGAATATTCTATCTTCGGCTGAAGAAGAGTCAGTCAAATTAAGTTTAAAATTTGTCGGAAACTCGATACCGTGTCCTATATCTGCTTAGAATATTTTTCGAGGCGGTCTTCATATGTTTTTCTTAAAACCGAAACTCCGCAGACACTTTGGCTGGATACAGTTTTAAGTCATTTATCTAAAATTATTGCGCAATAAGTCTAATCCGGCTGGACATAGTTCTGGAATCTCCAGAAGGATAATCTTCTGTTAAATCCCCTCAATATCAATATTAATGTAGGACGAAATTATATTCACTAATCGGAAAGCAGCAACATTGTAAGATTTGTGATTCTAACTAAATCAATATACAGGGTGGCGCCTCTTGTGACCAATGTTCAATATTAATTTTGTCTCCCCCTGTATAATTTTTAATTGGGTTTAACATACAATGGTTATTTTAACTAAACATCAGGCTACATACATGATAAATTACAATTTATTTAGCTGTTAGTGAAACTTAAAGTATATTTTTCATTTTCACAAAATGTGAAGTATGTCAAAAACCTTATATTTTAGACATAGGCTTCTTTAATGGTACACACCTTTATTTTTTTCCTAGAATCGGAAAATCAATTAATATAATTAGGGTGTTTTATTACAAAAGACCCAACTTTGATGCATAACTTTTTTTTGGGGACACCCTGTATTGTAACCCAAAATTTCATTTCGATATATGTTCTGTGCATTCTCCGCCGGAGCTGCCACCATCGGAGAATATCGTAAACAACTAGTATATACAAAAAAACGGGTTTAAATAGCAAGTATACGAAAAATTTATTATATAATAATGATTCTAAAAGTATAATTTGTGAAAATTTTAAAAATTAAAATAAAAAGTAAATATTTTAATATCTTCAGAAGGTCTAACTTGTATTGTAATTTATTATTCCAGGTAAAAAAACTTTTTAGATGAGGTATAGTATATATATACGGTAGCGAGCATAGTTTTAGGCACCGGTTTTGCTAGTTGGGTCATAATTGGGGCTATTTCGGCTATAACGAAATTTTTTAAAGGTACATAATTATAATTTTAGAAGATGTTCATAAAACATTTAATCATTAATTGATTTAAAAAAGTATACCATCAATATTGCAAATTATATGTTATCCTCTCATAGTATATGTCTATTTAACTTTTTTGCTAAGTAACGAGCACTTTGTTTACTCACTTGTTTCGTCGAACTGCTTGAATACATTTTTGCTTTCGATCAAATCGGTGTGGTAAACTATGAAGCTATAAAGTGTTGTTTCGGGACATTTAAATATCCGGGAAATTTGAGTTATTGAATGTTATAGCACCCAACAACGCCCTAATCACGCTCTCTTTACGCGTTAACATTTTTTCGGCTATTATATTAACATATAAAATTGTCACAACACAACACGACGCCTAGTTCGGATTTTTTTTTCTTATTTTTTTACTACCCGAAACAGCGTTACATCACACAAACCTCCTACCTGAGTGTTTTATATTTTCAATAATTGCACCAGCAAAAAACTAAACTACTTAAATATTATGACAAAGCCACGATTTCTATATTATTTTAATGCGATCAACATGAACTGTAACCGGGACTGCGTGAAATACATAGTGAAAATCTTTTATTTCTGCCATATACAGCGCTGCGGTCGGAATTTGTTGATATCAACTGATATGCACGAAGTCTATAAACTACCGTTCTCCTTTGAGCCTCCGCGTTGTATGAGAGGTGCCACCCTGTACAAGGTAATCAGTAATATAATCGTGAATTTCATAATATTCTGAAGATTTTATAAGTTGCGAGGAATGCAAACCGAAGACGCGCGATGATTTTTCTTGATATATCCGTAAATAAAACAATTTATTCTGTTTAAAAAAACACATACACTCAGAGAGAATCTTGATGTGTTGTCGCATCAGGATGAATTTGATTAATAGCTTTTAGAACTATGCTCTCTTTTTCCTTAAAAATAAATCTCCTGGCTGAAAGCATTTCGCCTGACTTTTTCTCGGACAGGATATTGCTTTTTTACGTTTTACTATTGGCAGTTAATGCTTTTCCAAAGGATTTCCTACAATGCACTTCAATTTGATTAAGATCTATTTTTAGACTAATGCTCCTAATATTAATATATCACCTCAGTCCTAATTAACAAGAATATTTTACTTTATTACTAATACTAGACGGTTCATACATCTCTGAAGGCTTTTTAACTTTGAAAATATGATATATTAAAAATATTTCATCTCTTTTAGCTTTTTCATCTTTATTATTGACAGTAAGTGTATTAAATTTTACCGATAGGTACTTTTGTAAATACAGACTTTTTTCTGATTAAATAGAAAGTGATACATTACTCTCTATCATGTCATTTGACAGTTTTGTTTAAAAAATAATAATAAAAATGAAGGGAAAACACTTTACTTGATATTAGATTTTACTACTTTAAGAAACTTTCCCAATTTTGAATTGCCTATTGGAAAAGACGAAATCGAAGAACAGAAAGAAACAATACAAAGAGAAAATATCTGATTTCGTAAAGCGAGTCTATATAATATTGTTAGAAAAACGCCATTCCTTGTAACGAAGAACGACGCATCAGGAATTAACGAAACAAATTTTATTTTAGAGACAAATTGCTAGTTACAGGCGTTAAATTACATTCCTGGCCAAGAGGTTTTGTTTTATCATTTTCGTTCCATTGTTTATTTTAGATGAATCTAGCTTAACAGGCCCTCGGGGAACCAAAGGTCCAATGAGATTACCTTTTCCCTACTTAAATGACGCAGCTTTCTGTTTTTTTAGACAACTTTTCTTTTTCCTTTATCGAAACTTAACGTACCTCCAAAAATACCTTCGTTCGCCTCTAATTTCAATTTATCTGAATTTATTTTATGCTGTTTTGTTAATGGAAAAAATAAGATTTGTTTGAGAAAAATAAAAAACGATTTATGCAAAACGCAAGTAATTATTTTAATCATAACGATTGTAATTCCTTCCCTCGCAATTGAGCAATTTCCATGGAACAACAGAAATAATAACACAATTGCTGCTTAATTGGAGAAACACGCTAAATATTCGATCTGCAATATGGCAGATAATGAATTCAGTTTAATACTTTAATATTTCAGTTTTTCTTGAATTTATTTATTTATAAATTTATTTTTTAGACATAGTATTAATTAATACAGGGTGGCGCCTCTCATACGCCGCGGAAGCTCCAAGGAGAACGGTAGTTTATATCAAAATTAAATTTTGGCAGCATATGTAGATAAATTGGAAGCATTTTATAACAATATATTGAATTATACAGGGTGTCATCAATGGAACACCCTATATATTAATTGATAACAGATTCTAGGAAAAAACAAAGTTTTATTAAAGAATATAAAGGTGACCAATGTTCAATATTAATTTTGTCTCACTCTGTATAACTTTTTGGATCAAGTTTTAATTTGAATTAAAAAGTACAATAGTTAATTTAACAACATATTAGGCTATGCCGGGTAAGTTCCAATTTAGGTAGCTTTTATCGTGATTTAAAAACAATTGTTCTTTATTTTTGCAAAGAGAAAAAGTAAATATGTCAAAAACCTTACATTTTTGTCATATACTTCTCTTATAAAACTAACCTTTATTTTTCTCCCAGAATCGGAAAATCAATTAATATATAGGGAGTTCCATTACAAAAAACACAACTTTGATATGTAACTTTTTTTGGGACACCCTGTAAAACTCTCTTTATTTTTAAAAAGTTCTAATAACAAATACAAACTGTCGTTCACCTTGGTGCCTGCGCGTCGTATGAGAGGCGCCACCCTGTACATCCGGTATTATTCAAATTAGTGCAGATGTTTAATTAGCTTGTACAAGCAATAACTTTAGATGCCATCGACAGGTTTCAATGAGGCACATCGTCAAACAATCAAAAAATGGTAATGAGGCGACATAAAATTATTCATATTCCTTCAAGGAGAATTTGAAAAGGTTTTTAGGAGGCAAACAGACCAATAACCGTTGAAATAAAAGGTACCTCTTCAGTAGCGTTTTTATGCCGTGGTCCTGTTCCTTTTCAAGCGACTAAAGCGACATTCAAATCCGATACAAGCGTATTTATTCAAGAAAAGGGGTGTACTTAGCCTGCAGCAGCTTCCATTTGATACAAAACATTAAGTCGAACTGAAATTTAGCTTCTGGCTGAAGAGAGGAAAAAAATCGAGGGTCTGAGAAAATAAAAGGGCCAGCGGAAAAATAGCCTTTGTTAAAAACGAATAAAATATATGAAAATTGAATTAGATTCTCCCTCTTCTTGTCTTTCACAGCATCATTTTCTTGGTATTTTTGATCTTTAGACCCTTAACGCAATTTATTTATTCAATAAACTTTATTTTAACGAGTTGGTTTAGTGTTGAAAATTAAATTATATAAATATATGTATATAATTATCGTTAATTGGAGTGTGGTAGACAATTTTTGAGTACTTATTGAGATTACAACCATTGTCTATATATTTTTTATATATTTTCATAGACCGTTATCAAGTGTGGACTAATCCAAAACTTATAATTACTAGAGCCGAGCCTTCACCCGTGATTAATAAAAAAGACATAGATTTAAAACATTATGTCATCAAGCAATCACTATATGCAGTGACCAAGAATCTCTGAATTCTGAACTAAGTAATATTAGCTTTGTTCGCGGAGGCGATCCCTGACTAATCCCTGACTGGCGCGCCGGCGCGCTTTGAATATGAGCGTTCGCGGTACAATAAGTTCCGGATTCTGACAAACAATCAGTTGTTCGCGGAAGCGCTTAATCGAATCGGGGACTGGTACGGGATCGATCAGAATAGTCAGCGGATAGATGCCTGTACTTCTTGTCAGGTGCATGCGTATTGCGGACTATTGCGTTTGTTGACAAAAGCACTTCTCTGTTAGGGGCATTTTTTTAGTTCTGTGTGTTTATAGAGATCCAAAAAAAGTAACGTATCACCATGAGTCCATCTATAAAATTTTTCTTCGACAGTACTGGAATTAAATTCCAAAAATTCGCTTATCTCTGTATCAAAAAAAAACATCGGTTAGGAATATAAACAAATAATTTAATATTTTAAAAAATATAAAGGTTTCCCACGTTCTATATCACTGCTCATTATTAATCAATGTATTTTGTCTATATGATAAAAGTTCAAAACAAATGTACAAAACGCGTTCGCGGAGAAATGTCAATCCCAAACCTGTTTTGAACCGCGCATGCGTAGTTGATAAATCAGTTATTTGTCGCGGATTTGTTAGGGGTTAGTCAGGGATCGCTACCGCGAACAAAGCTATTAAAACCGATTTACTTCGACTCGACAATCCCCAAACCAAACCAAACGTGCAAGGTGGATAGCATTAATGAATGGGTATTAGGCAGAAGACGCGAATGGAATGACCATATAAGCCGAATGGACGAGAGAAGAATTGCCTATTCACCATTCGCCAAATCATCACTGGGAAGAAGAAGTACGGGAAGGCGAAGAAAAAGATGTGATAACCTTACCATCGATTGAAACTGTAGGCAAATGTGAAGAATGAACAGGCAATCTGCCTAATATACAGTATAAAAATAAGTAAAAAAGTTCGTATAAATGTATGTCCTAAAATGCTTAGTTTCGGAGATACAGGGTGTGGAAGTTTCATATTTATTTTGATTTTTTCCAGATAATTTCTGAAGTAACGTCAATATTTGGATGAAAATTGGTATTTGGGAGTTTTTTGACATGAGAAATTTGATTTTTATGTCAATATGACTCCTACTTGTAGAGGGCGCCATATACATATTTTTAACTGGTTTGAAGAGTGATAATTTTTCGTTCGTACCTGTACTACTGTGTAAAAAAATATACATTTACGACGTTTATTACGTAAAATAGGTCTCTTGGGAAATATCGCTACGAGTAATGGTCTTTGAGATATTTGGAATCGAAATTGTCAATACCTGTCATCATTGACATAAATTAAACATGTTGACTAAACAGTCTAATACTCAAATCTTAAATTTGAAGGGTTTTTGTGCCAAAAGTTCAACAAAAACTGCTTTTCCATAATTTTTTCGCAGAAAATTTATGATTAATTTAAAAAAATAAAAATTTCCCGAATTTATTATTTCATTCAAATAAATCTACTCAAGGTGTGTATTTTTTGATGATTTTTTGTCAATAATGATATGTATTGACTATTTCCATTCTAAATATCTTGAGAACCATTACCCGTAGCGATTTTTACCAAGAGATCTTTTTTACGTAAAAATTGTCGTGAATGTATATTTTTTTACTCAATAGTTTTATACAGGTACGGACGAAAAGTTATTACTCTTCATAACAGTTAAAATACATGTAGATGGCGTCCCTGCGAATAGGAGTCATACTGACATCAAAATCGAATTTCTCATGTCAACAAACTCCCAGGCATCAAGTTTCATCTAAATATTGACGTTATTTCAGAAATTATTTGGAAAAAATCGAAATATAAGTGAAACTTCTACAACCAATAAGCTCAGTAGTTCTAGGATTTAGATTAGTTGACACTTGATAACGGTCAGTGATATTTCTGACCGAAACGTTGTGTAAGCAAAATAAATAAAAACAATGAAGTTCGAAGCTTTCATATATAATTAATGTATACGCATACAGGATCTTTGGACCTATACATCAGTTTTTACGGAGATAAAAATAAAACACTTTTACTTTTACACTGGAAGCGTGTTTCGCAGATGATTAAAAACTAGCTAGTTTTAACACCAAAGGTTACAACCCCCAACTGTAATTTACGGAGATGTTAAAGTTTGACTAAAGACAGATTTAATAATTGAAAAAAAATATTTAAATGTGTAAAACAGGTAAGTGTAGTGTGAAAAGAGTAGAAGGAACATTATATAGAACTGACCTGTATAGTGCTAGGCAGTAAACACACTGTGTCGTCTTCGATGTCTGTCCTCAAGGTGGGAGATGTCGATTTGGAGTTGCACAGGCTATGGGAAGATGCGGACTTGCCGTATTGAGCTATCTGGACCGAAATACTGGTCCCCGAAGGGCATTTTAAGGTAACTATATCGTTGTCGCAGCCTGCCCTTTGATACGTCCTCAGAGTGCCAGAAAGTAGAGCTAAAAAGAAAAACCCGTTATCTCCAGGGAGTCGACGAAACCAGCTTTACCAAATTAACCGCAACTTCGACACAAAAAACAATCTCGATATATTTCTACACATCTTCGTCACATATAAAAGTCGCTGGTGGTTTTGAGATAAAGATAAACGTTTTCATTACGAGATACGAGCTTTTGTGTGTAACGTGAGAGCTACGGTTAAAAAATCCTGCTGCATTTTATATTTGCCACAAAACATCTTTTATCTCCCAGCTCCGGCTCGGTCAACTTTACGTTTTTAATTAATTTACGATTGAGCGCAAATGTAATAATCTTGTAATTGTAAGAAAACATAGCGAAAAAAATGTCCAAGGGAAACTATTAACTAGCATGTACCAGCGACTTCGTTTGTGTCGAATTAATCATTTCTAATGGTGATGCATGCAAAAATTTCCATTAACATACAAACTGGATACAATTTTCTCACATTTATGTAAGCATGAGAAAAAACAATATGGCGATATTATTATATAACTTGGTAATATTTGAAGGGTAGTTTCCTCTCGTTGGAATTTGATTTTTTTGACGAAAAGTCCGTTTGCCAAAAATAAGCTTTTTACGTCAAGCAGTTTAAAAAAAATCGTGGTTAAGAAATTACCTGACTTTTTGGAACACTCTGTATGAATTTTTAAAAAATTTCAAAATATGTAAAAAAACCAAATAAATTATGCTTGTCCAAGCGTTTTCCTGAAAGACTAACCGTTTTTTAAATAAAAAATATTGTAATATTTGAGGGGCGTTTTCACCCTCTTGGAATTTGAGATTCGAGAAACCCCTCCTTATCGAACCTCTACACCCCACAGTCAATCCGTTTACCAAAAATCAGCTTTAAACGTCAAGCAGTTTATGCAGAATCGTGATTACTCAATGGTCATATTTTATGAAACACCCTGTATAAATTTATAAAAAATCTTAAAATATGTAAAACAATAAAATAAAATATACGTGTTTAAGTGTTTTTCCGAAAAAATCACCGGTAAAATAAAAAAACATTTTAATATTTGAGGGATAGTTTCACCCCCTTAGAATTCAAGTTTCGAAAAATCCCTTCTTATCGAACCTCTACACCCTAATGTCAATCTGTTTTCCAAAAATCAGCTTTTTACGTCAAGCGCTTTAAGCAGGAACGTGATTAATCAATGACCAGATTTTTCGAAACACCCTGTATACATTTTTAAAAAATCTTAAAATATGTAAAAAAACAAAATAAAATATACGTGTTTAAGCGTTTTTTCGGAAACTTGACCGTTTTTGAAATAAAAAATATTGTAATATTTGAGGGGTGGTTTCACCCTCTTGGAATTGGAATTTTGAAAAATCCCTTCTTATCGAACCTCTACACCCTAGAATCAACCTGTATGCCAAAATTGAGCTTCTTACGTTGAGTGGTTTGAGCAGGATCATGATTAATCAGTATGTCAGTCACTTAACTTAATCTACTGTTTTTGCTTTAGTTATTGTATCCAGAAGCCTTAGTTTGTGTAAATTATTCGAATTATACATATTTTTAGCAGAGCTGCAAGCTCACGGAAAACTTAAGCCTTTTTTTGATTTAAATCATTTTAATGACTGAATTCATTTGGTTTTAAGTCACTTTTCGAAAGCTGACCTCAAACTTAAAACATAAGTCTTTTTGAAAACGATTTGTGATCTAAATCTTTATTCTGAAATAGAAAAAGATTTAAGTCTTTTTATAAAAACTTAAGTCAGATTTTTATATATTTTTATGATACATTTTTAACATCAGCATTTCTTTTTGAACTGTTAAAGTAGCAGAATAAAAAAACAATGCTCAATACCACTAGTAAATAAAATGTTTGTTTTTCGGAACCGGCTTTGTTTGTAGTGTTACGCGTGCGTAGTGAGTCTGTTTTCTTTCCAGGGAAACTCCGCGTTATGTAGCCCGAAAAACGAACGAAAAAAATTTGTCTTGAATATATATTGAAGAGCACCTTAAAATTCTCCAGACCTTAGCTTATGCCATCTATTATTACTCTCTATATTATTAGTGATCAAAACACATCACCACTTTTTAATAAATATATGTATTCGATGACATCTATCTGTAATGGATACATATAAAGTACTACAAAAACGGTTTCATTTTATATAAAAACATACTTTTATGTTTGTAGTTGTTCTGAAAATTAACCGTTTTATTTTATACGGTTTTAGTCTCATTTGTATCTACAATAAATTAATAATATAATACTTAATAAAAAAATCGTTAATTGGTACTACAAAAAAAATTTATATTAACATTTAAAAAAAGGTACTTAAATTGAATTCTGATTGTCTTGACTTGAGGGTAATTATACTAATTTAAGTCATTTTACTGACTTAACCTGCAGATCATCATGATTTAAGTTAAAAATAAAGATTTAAGTCATAAAAACGACTTAAATAACGTTATATTGATTTAAGTCTTTACCAAAATGACTTGACTTGAAATAAAATGATTTAAGTCAAAGACTTGAGACTTAAACCATTTGAACTTTATGTTGAATTTGACTTGAAACTTAAATCATTTTGATTTTAGAAATAATAAATTTAAGACTTGAGTCTTTTTAAAACTGACTTGTTGCAGCTCTGATTTTTAGATATTTCTAGACTTGTTTAGTTTTTATCCTTAATCAGTTCCGAACACTTTTTGATGCTTTCTGTATTTTTCTTTACTGATATGCCTAAACTAAGATGTCAAATAGTATAATATACGTCTCCTCGAGCTTTGGGTTGGGACACATGTACCCTGCTTTAACAAGAATTTATAGGGGTTGTTTCGCTGAGGTTTTTTGTTAATTCCTTTTGTACATTTTTATTGAGAATAAAAATCGTTTCGAGCTAATTCCCTTAAGCGCTCTCCTGGTTTTAGACTTTTTCTACTTATTCCTACTCAAGTGAGATAAACCTCTATACCGTATGATCCAACATCGGTTTAATTAAGTATGCTGTAAAACTGCATTTTGTTTTCGACTTGAAAGAACCCTATTTTTGTTCGCGATTAAATCTGAGGAGCATTTGAATTTCGATCTGGAACAAGGCTGGAATTTAAATGTGATTGTTTTCGTTATTTATTTATGGTGGTGTGGTGGTAAAAATTCAGTTTTTATTCTGTTCCAGGGAAAATAATGAAGGATTTGATAGAATTTTGGTCGTTAAATTACAACAGCATAAGTGGATAGTGTCGGGAGCTCTGGATGCAATAGCGTTAAATCCGGAAAAGACGAAGCCGAGGCTTTGGGCATCGTAAAAAAAGGGCAAAGGGCGTAATTCATTAAAATGCAGCTAGAAATTCTCAAACGGAGCCTGGCTTCGACCTTTTAAGATAAATAAACTATACATTGTCTTCCCTTTTTACTGCCTTGCTTCGCCTTTAAATATAAATCTCTCAAATACCTAAACGGACTTTATGGTAAATAACTGGATTTCATAACTAATCCCTATCACAGTATCACATTTTTTAAAATGATTACACCGAGTGTAATTTAAATAAATGATATATTCTCTCGGACTATCTCTAAAATGAAAATCCTTGTCGAAATTGTGAGGAAAAATGGCTGTATTGAAGATTTCGGGATACAAATAGCTCTATCGGCAAAACTAAACGTAAAAAATAGCCAAATTTATCGACGAAACGGGGATACAAAATGTCAGGATATCAAATACAGAATCTACGTGATCTTCGTTAAACCTTTTTGGCCGAAAATTTCAGAGGGACGTCTATGATTTTCTGGATAAAAAGACAAAATAACTTTTCTTTAGCCCAAAGCAAACAGAATTGTATTTTTTCGAAGTGCCTACGCGTTAAAATTTCTTTTTATATCTATGCCGAAATAATTGAATATTAAAAGGAAAATCTTGTTCCCCTTTGGGAATTGTTTATCCCCGTTTTGGGATATAACAATCACATAAGTTAGCCAGCTACTTTCTATTTAAATATTATTCCGAATAAAATTCCCAGTCTCACTTTTTTGATTATTCAAAGAATCTTATTTTTCATCTTCAAATTTAAATGTATTTAAATGTCGTTTTATTCGCGGCACTTTAAGCTAAAAGACTTTAAAAAGAATTTGTTTTCAGCTTGAAAATTATAATTTTCAAACTATGATTCTGTGGTTAAAGACGATTTTCAATTTTTGGTAAATAAAGGTTGCGAATTTTTAAAAGTTCGTTGTGTTCTCGATATCCTGCAAACTTTGCTTTGTTTAATTTTGTTCCAAAGAAAAATTAAACGATTTTCTTGTCAAGTTTAATAATTACTTTACACAACAGAGCTTAAAAAGTTTTAGATGAAGCAATAAAAAATATTTTGAGCGTAAAATTAATAAATGTTATATTAATTACGAACAAATAAAAACTTAAATCGTTATACATGCTAATAACAATTTAATATGCACGAATATAACGGTTTTTCATTATTATTGACTTTCGGATTAATATATTTAACAATGGCAATATTTGAATTAAATGCCCTGAACGGAAAAAATATTAGATTAACATATAGTAAAAACGGTCGAATTATTAATTAATATTCGGAAATTTAAACAACATCAATTTTGTTTCATTAAATAAAGCATAAGTTTGACAATAAAAATGGTACTTCTAGAGACTAAAATTTATTTATAAAAAATATTCTTTACTGCAAAGAAGCTGCTACTGGATGCCATAAAACATTATGTATTTTTCATGCTGTTTTAATTTTTTCTTTGATATTTGAATTGCCAGTAAGTCTGAAAGAATCCCTTAGCTCTAAATTTCTCAATTTCGTCTTTATTAACGTTACAGGCCTTACGTCTTTTCTTCCTAACTTCCTTACTAAATATGAAAATTAAATTTCCATTCTGCAAGCTTTTATAGGAAATAAAAAAAAATCTCTCAGGGAACAATCTCATTTTATTTTATAGACACACTAAAGCCTCGTGTACACATCCAGTTTTACTTACAGACACACATACGTTATG